CTTTTAACAACATTTTTCTATACAATATATATATATATATATATATATATATATATATATATATATATATAGATGTATGTGACAGTTTTACTTTTGCATTATAATAAAGTCGCTGTTAATTTTTTTCGAATATTAATTAACGCGAGGTCTTTTGTTCTTGAAGAACTGAAAAGGGATTTCAGTTTTTTTTTTTTTTTTTTTTTTGCCTGAGATCCTTTCGATGTGTTCACCTATATACATATATATGTAAAAACGCGCTTGAATGCTCACGAACCATAGCCACAATAGCCATTGTACGGAATGCACATTCCTTATTGGATCATTTGCACGCAGTATCTTAACGCATTGCAGACTCTCCTTTACCTCTTTCTTTGTAAATCTTTTGCCTATTCTCCCATATATATAACCAGTTTTGCCAACTTCTTGTAAATCGAGTTAAAATAAGAAAACAAAAAAACAACAAACGATTTCTCGTTAACATAATCGATATGTCGATATATAAATAATTCATATATTATTTTTCGAGACCAAAAACAAAAATCGATACAAAATCGATTGAAATGCTTCGATATATCAATATAAATAACAATAATAATAATAATAATAATAAATATATATAAATAAATGGTATAACGATTATAATAATCGATATATCGGTGTATCGATGTATCGATATTAATAATCGATATATCGACAGAAATAAATGGTATATCGATATTAATAATCGATATATCGTTATAAATAATCGATATATCGATATAAATAATCGATATATCGGTATAAATAATCGATATACTGTTAGAAATAATCGATGTATCGACATAAATAAATGGTATATCGATATTAATAATCGATGTATCGACATAAATAAATGGTATATCGATATTAATAATCGATATATCGTTAGAAATAAATGGTATATCCATATTAATAATCGATATATCGTTAGAAATAAATGGAATATCGATATTAATAATCGATATATCGGTGTATCGATGTATCGATATTAATAATCGAAATACCGATATTAATAATCGATATATCGTTATAAATAATCGATATATCGTTATAAATAATCGATATACTGTTATAAATAATCGATGTATCGACATAAATAAATGGTATATCGATATTAATAATCGATATATCGTTAGAAATAAATGGTATATAGATATTAGTAATCCATATATCATTAGAAATAAATGATATATCGATATTAATAATCGATATATCGGTGTATCGATGTATCGATATTAAAAATCGATATATCGACATAATTAATTGGTATATCGATATTAATAATCGATATTTCGACATAAATAATCGATATATCGATATTAATAATCAATATATCGATATTAATAATCAATATATCGTTATAAATAATCGATATATCGACATAAATAATTTATTTGTTGAAATAAATAAGCGATATAGTTAATCGATGTATCGATATTAATAATCAATATATCGTTATAAAAAATCGATATATCGACATAAATAATTTATTTGTTGAAATAAATAATTTATTTGTCGAAATAAATAAGCGATATAGTTAATCGATATAAATAAATGGTATATAGATCGTAATAATCTATATATATATATATATATATCGATATAAATAAATCTTAAATCGATTGTAATAATCAATATATAGATTTTAATAATCGATATATCGATACAAATAATTGGTATTTCGGTAAAAGTAATTGACATATCGTTTTAAATAATCAATGTAATTAATTGATATATCGATGTAAAAAATCGTTTGTATCGATATAAATAATCGATATATCAATATAATTCGATATAAATCGATATAGAGAAATAATCGATACAAGAATAGAAATAATCGATGTATTGATATAAATCATCGATATATCGATATAAGTAATCAATATATCGTCGTTAAAACTAACTATTTATATCGATTTTAAAATACTTTAAGCTTTTCTCTCTTAAATATCGATATAAAATCAAAATATTTGTATAATTTTTCTTATTTTTTTTTTTTTTGGTGTGAATATGCAAATTTTAAATAATAGTCCAGTTTTTTTTTATCATATTTTTATATTATTTTACTTTTAAACAAAATAAACATATATATATATATACATAGTATAAAATGTGGTTGAAGATATAGAGATAGGATTTTTTATTATCATTATTATTATTATTTTTTTCTGTCTTTTATAATCTTGATTCCAAAAAAAAAATCGTGCGTGTCCCTTATATATATACATATATTTGTGTGTATGTCTGTGTACCTGGAAATCGGGAACTCTGAACATGAATAAAATATTTTTTTTTTTGCGAGGACGCTTGTGGCATGATGAGCGAAATCAGCGTGTGACATACATAACTTTTGCTTGTGGCCACATTGCGTCGTCTTCGCGTTGTCGTATATGCTGTCGCGCCGCGCACAAAAAACCGCGTAGGAAGTAAACATCGTATCTACCTTTATTTCAGCGTGGGACCGTTCAAAAGAGATAAGGGCACGACGCACTATCTGCCGGAATATCATTACTGTAACGCGGCCTTTTGCATACCTAAGGCCGTCGCTTTACATTTTTCTCTTTAATATTATATATATATATATTTGTTAGAAAAGTGCTGAATCTCCCCCCTCCCCAACCCCTTTTTTTCTCTTTTTCTAATATGAGACGTTATCATCTTCACCTCACTCTTATTCCGAGACTTCTTGAAGTTTTTTTTATTGCACCGCAGTATTCCTGAATGAGTCTATATATATATATATATATATATATATATATATATATATTCAAAGATTATATTCATCTTGACAAAATAAATTCATAAAAAACAGAAATGTACTTTTTTTTCATTTTTCATCCTACTTAAATAATTTACATATATATATATATATATATATATATATATATATATATATATATATATATATATATATATTTGATAAGAATTAATAATAACGAGTAAAAGAAAATAGTTTAAAAATGTCCTGTTAAATTTTTTTTTCCAATAATTTGGATTTTTATAAATTTAAAAAATTTTTACAAAAATTACCTAAAAATAAGTTAGCAATTTCCTTAAATTACCATAAAATCCCATAAATTGCCAAAAAACAAAATTTTAAAATTACGTAAAATTTCCTTAAATTACCATAACTTTCTTTAACTTACCAAAAATTACAATAACTTTCACTAAATTATATAAAAATTACCATAACTTTTCATTAATTGCTAAAAGAATCTAAGAATTACCAAAAAAAAATTTCTAAAATTACCATAAATTTCCATAATTTACCAAAAATTACAAAAAAAAATTTCCATAATTTTTTCCTAAATTATTTAAAAATTTCGACAAATTACCATAACTTTCATTAATTTGCTAAAAGAATCTTAAGAATTACTAAAATTTTTTTAAAAATTACCTTTATCATTCTTTAACTTAACAAAAACATACCATAACATTCTATTAATGACTAAAAAAAAAATCTAAGAATTACCAAAAATTACAGTAACTTTTTATTATTTGCTAAAAGAATCTAAGAATTACGAAAAATTTCCATAAATTACCATAACTTTCACTACCTCATCAAAAATTACAATAAATTTCCATAAATTACCATAACTTTCACTACCTCATCAAAAATTACAATAAATTTCCATAAATTTCACTACCTCATCAGAAATTACAATAAATTTCCATAAATTACCATAACTTTCACTACCTTATCAAAAATTACAATAAATTTCCATAAATTTCTAAAATTGTCCAAAAAAAAGAATTATCAAAAATTTCCATAAATAACCATAACTTTCACTACCTCTAAAAATTACAATAAATTTCTATAAATTACCATAACTTTCACTACCTCATCAAAAATTACAATAAATTTCCATAAATTTCACTACCTCATCAGAAATTACAATAAATTTCCATAAATTACCATAACTTTCACTACCTTATCAAAAATTACAATAAATTTCCATAAATTTCTAAAATTGTCCAAAAAAAAGAATTATCAAAAATTTCCATAAATAACCATAACTTTCACTACCTCTAAAAATTACAATAAATTTCTATAAATTACCATAACTTTCACTACCTCATCAAAAATTACAATAAATTTCCATAAATTTCACTACCTCATCAGAAATTACAAAAAATTTCCATAAATTACCATAACTTTCACTACCTTATCAAAAATTACAATAAATTTCCATAAATTTCTAAAATTGTCCAAAAAAAAAAATTATCAAAAATTTCCATAAATAACAATAACTTTCACTACCTCTAAAAACTACAATAAATTTCTATAAATTACCATAACTTTCACTACCTCATCAAAAATTACAATATATTTCCATAAATTTCACTACCTCATCAGAAATTACAATAAATTTCCATAAATTACCATAACTTTCACTACCTTATCAAAAATTACAATAAATTTCCATAAATTTCTAAAATTGTCCAAAAAAAAGAATTATCAAAAATTTCCATAAATAACCATAACTTTCACTACCTCTAAAAATTACAATAAATTTCTATAAATTACCATAACTTTCAATACCTCATCAAAAATTACAATAAATTTCCATAAATTTCTAAAATTGTCCAAAAATATTATAATTTTCTCTTAATTATCAAAAATTTCCACCATATTTTTACATACATTTTTAAAATTATCTAAAAGTTTTCACAAATTATTATAACTTTCTTTAACTTACCAAACATTACAATAATTTTCCCTAAATTATTTTAAAATTTCTAAAAATTACCATAAATTTCCATAAATTGGTTAAAGAATCTAAGAATTAACAAAAATTACAATAACTTTTCTTAAATTACCAAAATTTTTCATAAATTACCATAACATTCCATATATTACCATAACTTTCCATATATTTTTAAAATTGCCTAAAATTATATTATTACTATTATTATTGTTGTTATTATTATTATTATTATTTATTTATTTATTACTAATGAATTTTTTTTTTGTGTTGCAGAATGTACATTTGGCAAACAAATACGAGAATTGGGTTCGACGTGGCATCCTGATTTGGGACCTCCATTTGGTATTATGTTCTGCATAAAATGCGAGTGTATACCAGTAAGTGTTTTTTATTATTCTATTTAGTGTAATTGAAAAAAATTATTTAAGAACAAAGATTTTGTTTAAAAATTTAATTTAATAAAAAAGAAAAAATAAATAATAAAAATGATAATGATAAAAATGATGATTTTAAATAATAAATGATAAAAAAATTTGTAATAAAAATTAAATTAATTTATAAAAATTATTTTTTAATTAGACGAAAAAAAAATTATTTTTTTCATTTTTTTAAATCATTTTTATATATATATATATATATATATATATATATATATATATGACATTTATAAGAGAGTGTAAGAGAGACATATGACACATAACTCTTTTGATTTTTAAATGAAAATAATGGGCTATTATCAATTTATATGGTTGAAATGATAAATTGAAATCATTAAAATGAATTAATTTAGATCAATGGAAGGAGGTGTGATAAATTTCGAAAAAAAAAAAAAAAACTTCGCACGAAGACCGAATTCCACAATGATCGCGTAATAATTGTCATTTGCATTCAAAGAGTGATACTTGTTATGTGTACGTATCAAGAATTCCTCCGTGTTTACACCGACAATGGTCATTAAAAATCTTGACTGGTTTTTTTTTATTATTATTATTATTATTATTATACTACTCGCGCCGCAATTTTTTTTTCAAGAATTCCTAATCTTTTCTCTTTCGCGTATATTATAAAAAAAAAAAAAAAAAATTGCGAATGTTTCGCACATAAAATTTCGGATTACACATGCGATAAGAAAAAATTTAAGATGAAAAAAAGCGACCCAAACTTATTTCATTTTTGTCCCAAAATAAATTTTTTTTTATTCTACTATTAAAAGAAAAATATATTTTTTTATTTACATTTTTTTTTTTTTTTTTTTTTTTTTTTTTTTTTTGAAACTAAATTTTTATTTTTGTATTAGAAAATTAAAAATTAATGTTTTTAAATTTAATAAATACAAAAATCGATATAAATAATCGATAGAACGATATAAATAATCGATATGTTGATATAAGGAAATCGATAGAACGATATAAGGGAATCGATGTATCGAAATAAATAATCGATATAAATAATCGATATATCGGTATAAAAAATTGATAAATCGATCTAAATAATCGAAAAATAGATCTAAATAATTGATATATCGATCTAAATACTCGAAGTATCGATCTAAATAATCGAAGTATCAATATAAATAATCGAAGTATCGATATAAAGAATTTTTTGTTCTCTCCCAAAACTTTTTTAGCCTTCCAAAATTTTTTTTTTGAATTTTTTTAAAAAATTTTTTTAAAAAATTTTAAAAATTATCGGAACAAATTTTTTTTTGCGACTCAATTCAGATTTTACTATATAGAGAGAAAGATTATACATGTCTCTCTCTCTCTCTCTCTCTCTTTCTCTTTCTCTTTCTCTCTCGTAGTTTGTGAAACTTCTATACTACTGCTCTTTGGTCGTTTGTCGTTGATCGTTTGGAATGGCGACGCCCGCCTTATTTTTAGACTTCGAAGGAACGACATTCGCGCTTTAGTGTGCATAAGAAGCTATTGATAGGTCGTCCTCTTCTCACGAGAGATAGGGGGAGATGGGGGGAGGGGACACCAAAAAAAAAGAAGACAACAAGGAAGAACAAGAAAACAAACGCCAAAGACTTTATATAAAAAAAAAAAAAAATTAAAGCAACGAACAAAACTCTGTAAATGTTAAACTCCCTGGTGTCTTCTTTTATAAAAATGTGTATATACAACTACTGATAAACGACAAAATTATCTCTCACATACACACCAAACTAAGTGTTATTTGATAAGATTATAGAAACGACAAATTACATATTTATCCTGTTCATTAATTAATTACAAATTGAGATTTTTTTTTTTTGAAATTAAAAGAAAACTATTTATTAATTTTGTATTTATATTCAATAATTTTTATATAATTTTTATTTTTTAATTAATTATTTAATTAAAGAGGACATAACCTCAAAACTGATAACTAGTTTTTAATGCAAACAAAAATTTAATAAAAATTATAAACAGTTATTATTTAATTAAAAAATTATTAATAGCTGTTAGTTATTTAATTGCTCTCAATCGGCTTTCAGTGAATTTCTATAAAGCTCCTTTTACAACAATTTTTTTTTACTTTTTTTCAACGCAAAATTCAGTGTTAAAAAGATGCGCGCGCATAATTTTAACAGTGTATTTTGTTCACGTTATTAAAAAAAAAGTTATTGTAGAAGCAGCTTAAATAGTAAAGAAGTTATCTGGATAATAAGAATCCTTTATTAAATGAAGTTATCTGAATAATAAGAATCCTTTTTGTCACCAATCCTTTATGGATCATTTACACCTTCAGTAAGAAATTTTTTTTTTTTTGCATTTTTCGAAATACACAAATCTCATTGGTTCATTTCGGAAAATGCAATAAAAAAAATTTTTCGTCGGAAGATGTAAATGTACCATTATAGAATGCCTTGTAATGCGATTGTAGTGTTGATCAACTCCTGAAAATAATTCTCGTATAAAATGGAACATAAAATCCTGTAACGTAAAACGATTCATTAAATTATACTGAAAAATGGAAATTAAATAATAATTACATATATACAAACTGTGTTATTCTTACCAAAAAAAAAATAATAATTTTATGACAATTGACCGGACACGTATTTTTTTTTTTACTTGTTCTCTTGACAAGTACGATTCTCTAAAGCAGTTGATAAGTGAGATTGGATTTTCGTGCGATTTTTTTCCGTCCATAATGTGGGATCCATTAGTTCCATTTTTAGCCGCAGCGCTAGTTGTCCTTTGCCTTTATCCTCCACTCGGTACTAATCACTTTGGATATGAAACCTAAAATATAGTAGAATATCTAGAAACTTATAATTATTTTTAATTATAATATATTAAATAATATATTATAATTAAAATTATAAAAATTTTAATATTATAATTTATCCTAATTATAATTCCAAAATAACGTCAATTAATGCAAAATTAAATTAAATTTCTCCGGTAAAAAGTAATAACAAAAAAAAATTCACATTACTATTTTCTTTTTTTCTAAAACCAGTGTCCTGAAAAAATTTACAGAAACACCCCCTTACCTCCGGCCTTAAAAAAAAAGGTGATAATTAGAAGAAAAAAAAAATAAACATTAATGTCCTGAATTTTTTTTAAGTCGTAAAAAAATTTCTTCACTTTATATACATATATATACAAATGACTGTTGTCTAGACCAACCAGCAAATAAGAAAAGCAAGTTTTACGAGTGTTTTGCCATTATTCTCAATCGCAATTTTTTTTATTGGCTATTATAATAAATGTGAATTTAAAAAAAAAAAAAATGTCTCTCGTCAGCATCCATTAATAGAATTTACGCCGAGTTTTGCCCCGTTCTAAATAATATTGGTAAAATGATTTCAATAAAATGTGTGCATACATTTATATATATATTACTATATAGAGGCTGCGGAATATACTATAAGTGATTGTGTCATCAGAATACGATTAGTCTTGATTAAGTCTACGCGATGATGATGTAATCAATCAACATGTCATCAATTATATATATTATACAAATTTTTTGACGAAAAAAAAAGAGATATATATCTTTATTATATGAATTAATTAATATTTAATAATATAATAATTATAGATAATTTTTATTTATTTTTTTTTTTAATATTTGTAAATATTAAATATTTATTTAATGGAAATAATAAATTAAAAAGTATTTTCAGTATAAATTTTTGAGGTTATTTTAGGTAATTTAATATAACTTAACCTTTTTTAAACCGAGCTAACCTCATAATCAAAAATTCCAATGCTCTCATTGGCTAAAGTTTCCATTCTTGGTTAACTATCGCACTTTGCTCTAGTGAAAATTTTAGTGACATTCTAGTTAAAATTAAAAGTTACCAGAAAGTCACTATACAGTTTTACTAGACTAGGGTGCGGTAGTTGACACCGAGATTTATTCGTTTTTTTTATTTTGTCTTTTACAATATTTATAAATAAATATTTTTTCTTTTCTTTTTTGCAGATACAAAAAAAGAAACGAATAATCGCTCGAGTACAATGCAGAAATATTAAAAACGAGTGTCCCAAATTGACATGCGATGAACCAGTTTTACTTCCGGGACGATGCTGTAAATCCTGTCCCAATGAATACAGTAAGTTCAATAAAAAAAAAACAATATTTCACTTAGAAAGTAATTTTTTTATTTTTAAAAAATTAGTTACGTAATATTACGAGGGAATATTAGAAGACAATCAGAAATGTTTAACCCAACCTTACTTTTTACAAAAAAATTACCATGAAACTACTGATCCCTGTACTTATTTTTTTCTTTCCCTTATTTCTAGATAGTTTTTCACTGTTAATGGAAAATTTTTGCAATATGAAGTTGTCTGAATAATAAGAATTCTTTCAATGAAGTTATCTGAATAATAAGAATTCTTTAAATATGATCTCCGAATGATGAGAATTGTTCTATTTAGAGGTAGAATTAAAACAAATTTATACACCGTACGCCACGAACTAAGAAAAATATTATAGAAGTGTCATGACATTTTGAAATTGCATCAAACCTCTAAAATAATTTTCATAGTTCGTGGCGCACAGTTTATACATTAATCATAAACGCCATAAGCTAATAAAATTATTATAGAAAAGTTTTACGATTTTTAAAATGTCGCCAAACCTCTATAATAATTTTATTAGTTTTTGCAATATAAAGTTGTCTGAATAATAAAAATTCTTTGAATGAAGTTGTCTGAATAATAAGAATTCTTTAAATGAAGTTATCTGAATAATAAGAATTCTTTAAATTGTGTTCTCTAAATAATGAGAATTGTTTAAATAAACCATATACTGGTAAGGAATCACTGTAAACTCGATATACGTCATAAACTAAAAAAAATTATTATAGAAGTGTAACATAGTTTTTGAAATGCCATATCAAACCTCTAGAACAATTTTCTTTGTTCGTGGCGTACGGAGCAATCAATATTATACACTTCTATAATAATTTTATTATTTCGTGGCACATACATTGGTTACATTATATACGCCACGAACTAAATAAATTATTATAAAAGTGTCACGACTTTTTGAAATGCCGTCAAATCTCTATAATAATTTTATTAGTTCGTGGTGTATGCTGCAACCAATGTATACATTTATATAATAATTTTATTATTTTTTAGCGTCTGCTGTGAAAAATGTAAACACTATACACCACGAACTATAAAAATTATCATAGAGGTTTGACGCCATTTCGAAAAGTCGTGACACATTTGTTACACGTATCATACACCACGAACTAATAAAATTATTATAGAAGTGTACAAGATTGGTTTTCATTGTCCCCACTCGCCAAAATCCCCACTCGTTTGTCAAAAATCTCAACTACCGCACCCTGCTCTTGTAAGAATTTACTGACTTTATTTTTAATATTAATAGTTACTAAATTTTTACTAGAGCAGGGTGCGGTAGTTAACGAGAATTATGACAAATTGCGAATGGTGACAATGAAAACTAACCAATTGGTTAACTCATAAGTCATGAACTAATAAAATTATTTTAGAGATTTGATGACATTTCGAAAAATTGTAACACTTCTATAATAATTTTAGTAGTTCGTGGCATATCGATAGAGAAGTTATCTGAATAATAAGAATCCTTTAAATGAAGTTTTCTGAATAATAAAAATCCTTTGAAACGATAACCCTTAGGATACGAAATCATTGGAAACTAACTGGCAATTCATTAAAAATTAATTACCTTTAATTTCAATGAATTTATAGTAAGTTTCCAAAAAGAATCTGTATCAGTAGAGAAGTTATCTAAATAATAAGAATTCTTTAAATGAAGTTATCTGAATAATAAGAATTCTTTAAATTGTGTTCTCTAAATAATGAGAATTGTTTAAATAAACCATATACTGGTAAGGAATCACTGTAAACTCGATATACGTCATAAACTAAAAAAAATTATTATAGAAGTGTAACATAGTTTTTGAAATGCCATATCAAACCTCTAGAACAATTTTCTTTGTTCGTGGCGTACGGAGCAATCAATATTATACACTTCTATAATAATTTTATTATTTCGTGGCACATACATTGGTTACATTATATACGCCACGAACTAAATAAATTATTATAAAAGTGTCACGACTTTTTGAAATGCCGTCAAATCTCTATAATAATTTTATTAGTTCGTGGTGTATGCTGCAACCAATGTATACATTTATATAATAATTTTATTATTTTTTAGCGTCTGCTGTGAAAAATGTAAACACTATACACCACGAACTATAAAAATTATCATAGAGGTTTGACGCCATTTCGAAAAGTCGTGACACATTTGTTACACGTATCATACACCACGAACTAATAAAATTATTATAGAAGTGTACAAGATTGGTTTTCATTGTCCCCACTCGCCAAAATCCCCACTCGTTTGTCAAAAATCTCAACTACCGCACCCTGCTCTTGTAAGAATTTACTGACTTTATTTTTAATATTAATAGTTACTAAATTTTTACTAGAGCAGGGTGCGGTAGTTAACGAGAATTATGACAAATTGCGAATGGTGACAATGAAAACTAACCAATTGGTTAACTCATAAGTCATGAACTAATAAAATTATTTTAGAGATTTGATGACATTTCGAAAAATTGTAACACTTCTATAATAATTTTAGTAGTTCGTGGCATATCGATAGAGAAGTTATCTGAATAATAAGAATCCTTTAAATGAAGTTTTCTGAATAATAAAAATCCTTTGAAACGATAACCCTTAGGATACGAAATCATTGGAAACTAACTGGCAATTCATTAAAAATTAATTACCTTTAATTTCAATGAATTTATAGTAAGTTTCCAAAAAGAATCTGTATCAGTAGAGAAGTTATCTAAATAATAAAAATTCTTTAAATGAAGTTTTTTTGAATAATAAGAATCCTTTAATAATATTGTCCCAAGTAATTCTGTAACAAAAAAAATTAATTAATTTCTCAATAATGCAAAATTAAAAAAAAAAAAGAAACAAATCATGTTATGCTTACCAAAAAATAAATTGATTATAGACGTTTGACGGTATTTCGAAAAGTCGTGACAATTTTTCTATAATAATTTTATTAGTTTATGGCGTATATGGTTGAGGTTGGATTCCATTGTCCCCACTCGCCATTTGATTATTTTCAACTATAGCACCCTGCTCTAGTGAAATTTAGTTACTTTATTGTAAAAATTAAAAGTTACTAAATTGTCCCTAGAGCAGTGTGAGGTAGTTGCGAGTATTATGACAAATTGTGAGTGGAGAGAATGGAAACCAACCTACAACCAATTTTTACCTTTCTATAATAATTTTATTAGTTCGTGGCGTATTATATTTTTTTACACCAAACGCTACGAACTATTAAAATTATTACAAAAGTGTATAAGACTAATTGCACCATACACCACGAACTAATAAAATTTTTATAGAGAGGTATGACGCCATTTCGTAAAAAATCATGACACTTGTATAATAATTTTATTACTTCATGACGCGTTTGGTTTGATATTAATGCAATTGGTTTTACATTAATAATTTAAATTATTTATCAAAAAATCAATATAAAAAAAACAAATACGGTTTATCTTTATACATATATATATAAATACAAAAAAAAATGGTAAAATGTAAAGAGAAAATAGTCGCGTAAAGCGACAATAAATGAATGGAAATAGAAAGAGAAGATGTTGACGTGAGAAAAGGTATAAGGAGGGGAAAGCGGGAATAAAGGTGGGAAAGGATCACTGTTAAGTGCGATGTTATAAAAGAGAAGATATAGAGAGTGAGTGTGTGTGTGTGTGAGAGAGAGAGAGAGAAAAAGTGAGGGAGGAGAGGGTGGGCGCCAGCAGGCTTTAGCGCCATGGCGCCGACTATATTACCGCACGGCGTCACTTCGATTAGGCTTTGCAATCTAAATGTAAATATTAACATACGTAATGATCCAAGCGCAATATGAAGAAATAAGAATAGACACACACCAATGGTGTAAACGAGAATCAATGGCCTTCTCTCTCAAGATGCAGGACGATTTATTCCGATTAATGCAATTGACCCCGCAGTAAAACGACACCTAGAGAGAGAGAGAGAGAGAGAAAGAGAGAGAGAGAGAATGATAAAAACGATTAGGATTGGTAAACTAGCATTAGAAATCACTGACATGCTGATTTCTTTGACTATATACTATTTGTATGATTATTCTCATACTTTTCGAGGCAACATGTGTGTGCGTTAAACTTTGCACTAGATATGTGAAATTGAACTTTGTACTCTATGATGTAATACATACATTATAGAAAAAGAATTTTTATTTTCTATCTTCTCACAATAATTATATGTATATATATATATATATATATATATATATATATATATACATACACACACGTCTATACACACAGAGAAGTTGTAAAGACCTTAGTAACGGTCAATAACAGCTTTTCATTGTTAGTATTGGGTAATAACTATCCGTGTGACGGTCAATGACAATCTACATTAATGGCCAACCGTTGACCCGATATTATTCTAATTGAAAATTATCTTTTTTTGCCATTGGATATAATAAAAATTAACAAAAAAAAAAAAAAAATTCTTGATAAATGTCGATAAAAGATGGTAACAGTTAGTAAATCACTTTAAAAAGTGGTAAAACAAAAAAATGCTAAAACATTGTAAATATTGGTAAAAGATGCTAATAGATCGTAAATATCGGTAAAAAAATGTTAGCAAATTGTAAATTTCGATAAAGTATGGTAACGGCTTGTAATTAACGGTAAATGATTGTAAAATGTCGATAAACGACGGTAATAGATTGTAAATATTAATAAAAGATCGTAAATTTCGGTAAAAGATGGCAAGTGAATATAATCGTAAATTTCGATAAAGTATGGAAACATCTCGTAACTTTTGCTAAAAGAACGTAAATATCGGTAAAAGATCGTAAATATCCGTAGTAGATCGTAAATGTCGGTAACAGGTCGTAAGTATTGGTAAAAGATCGTAAATGTCGGTAACAGATCGTAAGTATTGGTAAAAGATCGTAAATGTCGGTAAAAATTGTAATAGATCGTAAATGTTGGTAAATTATGGTAGTAGATCGTAAAATTCATTAAAGGATGGTAATAGATTGTAAATATCGGTAAAAGATGGCAAGTGAATATAATCGTAAATTTCGATAAAGTATGGAAACATCTCGTAACTTTTGGTAAAAGAACGTAAATATCGGTAGTAGATCGTAAATGTCGGTAACAGGTCGTAAGTATTGGTAAAAGATCGTAAATGTCGGTAAAAAATGTAATAGATCGTAAATGTTGGTAAATTATGGTAATAGATCGTAAAATTCAGTAAAGGATGGTAATAGATTGTAAATATGGGTAAAAGATAGCAAGTGAATATAATCGTAAATTTCGATAAAGTATGGAAACATCTCGTAACTTTTGCTAAAAGAACATAAATATCGGTAAAAGATCGTAAATATTGGTAGTAGATCGTAAATGTCGGTAACAGGTCGTAAGTATTGGTAAAAGATCGTAAATGTCGGTAACAGATCGTAAGTATTGGTAAAAGATCGTATATGCCGGTAAAAATTGTAATAGATCGTAAATGTTGGTAAATTATGGTAATAGATTGTAAAATTCGGTAAAAGATGGTAATAGATCGTAAATATCGGTAAGATATCGTAACAAACGGAAATATTAGTAAAAACTGTTATAAATAACTGTAGAATGAGTTAAGAAAAAAAAAATTTTTAAATCTCGTAAAAAAAGTTAAAAATTTATTTTTCATATTATATATATATATATTTTTTTATGATTACACTTGTATAAAATATATATACATTGACAGTGGGAAGTGTATTTAAACACAGGAAACTTATTTTTGGGTAGGTGTTGAGAAATGAGGAAGTAAAAATCTTTTGCAATATTGACCTATCACACCCACGTAACCAGGTATGCACAATTGCACATTGATCTTAACACACACACACATATATATATATATATATACAAGAAATAGCATCCTCCAGCAAATGTTTTCTCTTGATTTGCATAATAAGATTGTGGCAGCGAAAACAGGAAAATTTATTTCGAACTATTTCTCGCTACGAGGTTGCATAATTAATGTCAATATTGTTTCTTCTTTTTTTTCTGTCTCATTTCAACGTTTTACGGTTTAAGAAAAGAAAAATGAAGAAAAAAAAAACAGAAAATTATGATATGAAAACAGTTTATAAATGTCTTAATTAATTAATAATTAATATCAGATAGTTGTTGACAGTGAAATTTATATTTCTGGTTTTTTGTAATAAGCAATTTAAACGTAATCGATTAATCGAAATTTACTGTTCGAGATCGAATCATCGAATCAATTAGAAAGAATTGATTAATCTCTCATTTTGGTTCAATTATTTTTGTTTGTATAATCGAATCGAATAGTAGAAATCGATTAATCTTGAATCATACTTTTTGGTTCGAGTATCGATTATATTTGATTGTACAATCGAATCGAATAGTAGAAATCGATTAATCTCGAATCGACTAGAATCTCTCGAATCTCTCGTTCGACTATCGATTATTTTTGCTCGTATAATCGAATCGAAATTTATGTTTCGAGATCGAATCGATTAGTATCGATTCATTATCATTCGACTATCGATTATTTTTGTTTTTATAATCGAATAGAAATTTATAATTTGATATTAAATCGAATAGTAGAAATCGATTATCTAGTCTATAGTTGCTCGATTAATCGATAGCGATTAATTAAATCGAAATAACAATCGATTCTATTAATTGAAATCAAAGTTTTTCAATGATTGATACTAGTTATTAAATAATCGAATTCAACAACTTTTGTTACATTCTTTTATGGTTCATTTTTTTTATTTAAAGAAAGGGAATATGTCGTCACCGCATTAGAATTTCATTATATAGTCGTGTGTATAACCGACGAGGAAAAATAATTTCGATTCATATGTATATCTATATATATATATATATATAGATACTTTTTATTTATTTTGTTTTTGTACTTTTTTTTCTCTCTCTCTCTCTCTCTCTCTCTCATCTTATAAAAGCGACTAGGAATAATCTAGACGATGCGGGTTTAATTTATGCCCGCTGCCTTTGTCGAGGAGTGAATGGAGGCGGAAAGCCAAGGCACTCGAAATTCCTTAGCGAAAGAAATTGGTGATTTGTGGTGTGAAACGTGACACATTTATCTGATTTTATGCTTCCTTGGAATTGGACGGTGTTGAATCTATTCTATGTGATATAGGCACTCTTTTCTTTTTTTTTTGTCTTTCTCTTTCTCGCTATCTCTTTCTTCATTCTGCGAATATATACAAGACGCGTAGACCTTTAAACCTTTCTCAAAACCCGACTAACTCAAATCATTCTGGATCAGACTCGTCAAGAGAAAGAGAGAGAGAGGGAGAGAGAGAGAGAGAGGCGGCGGTGGCCGGTTACACTAGAATCGGCGCCTGCAGTTTTTTTTGGGGAGGTGGGTGGGGGACGGGGGATTTGCGGGTAAAAGGAAGGATGGTCGTCATTCAGGATTAAGGGACACGTTTCTTGGTCAATTTCTGCGCGTGTATATTTCAATGTATAGTCACGTAAACGTGCACGTGACATCTTCACATATGTATTTAATCTATTCTATATACGAACTTATATATATACATATAAATGTGTGTGGGGGGGGGACCACGAGACTCTCCTTTTATTTATTATTTTTTTTTTTTTATTCTCAACCGGACATCAAGATCGCGAATTCTTTGAAATTCAAATGCGTTTTGAGTTTCAAATCCTCACCCGAGTCGAATCGAACGATTACCATTCGTTTATACTCTTCAATGTCAACATTTTAATGGTCCTTATTAATTTTTATTTCCCTCTTTCTCTCTAGCTTCTAACCTTGAAAAAGCGTCAGAATTTTTACAAATATCTTATACTTTCGTGGAGGGTTTTTTTTTTTAGCTTAAAAAAATTTTAATAATTATTTGCGAAAAAAAAATTTTTTGATACAGAGGAGAAGAAGGGTTTTAATTAAAACTGATTTTAACCGGATTTTATAAATTTGTTGGGTATAAAAAAATTTATAAATTTCTATAGACAGCTAGTTCATTGTTAGTGGAGAATTATTTTGCAATATGAAGTTGTTTGAATAATAAAAATTCTTTGAATGAAGTTGTCTGAATAATAAGAATTCTTTGAATGAAGTTATCTGAATAATAAGAATTCTTTAAATGGTGTTCTCTAAATAATGAGAATTGTTTAAATAAACCATATACTGGTAAGGAATCACTGTAAACTCGATATACGTCATAAACTAAAAAAATTATTATAGAACTGTACAAGATTGGTTTCCATTGTCCCCACTCGTTTGTCAAAATTCTCAACTACCGCACCCTGCTCTAGTAAAAATTTACTGACTTCATTTTTAATATTAATAGTTACTAAATTTTTACTAGAGCAGGGTGCGGTAGTTAACGAGAATTATGACAAATTGCAAATGGGGACAATGAAAATTAATCGATTGGTTAACCCATAAGTCATGAACTAATAAAATTATTTTACAGATTTGATGACATTTCGAAAAGTCGGAAACACTTCTATAATAATTTTAATAGTTCGTGCCGTATCGATAGAGAAGTTATCTGAATAATAAGAATCCTTTAAATGAAGTTATCTGAATAATAAAAATCCTTTAAATGAAGTTATCTGAATAATAAAAATCCTTTACAAATATGATCCAAGTAATCCTGTAACAAAAAAAAATAAATTTAATTTCTCAAACAATGCAAAATTAAAAAGAAAAAGAAACAAATCATGTTATGCTTACCCAAAAATAAATTGATGACAATTGATTGCTTGAAAACCTTGAGACAAATGTATTATATATACAAATGTTTATTTTTAAAAATATCCATTCCAGATGAGAAACGATGAATACATAACCTGGTTTATTTTGTTTTTTGCGCGTATAGTGAGAAATTTCTCAACATCACTGGAAACAAAATATTACGCGTCGTTTCCTCTCCGACAAGGTTTCAGTGGATGAGTGGTGACAAATTTTTGTTTAACAAAATATCACTCTCGTGTGCACTAATTTTCACTATATATATATCTGTATATATATATACATATATTTATGTATATGCGTAAAATATACGCAGAAGCGTGGAAATAACAAATCTGTCTACTCTCGTAGACCGGCGCACAATATGTTAAATTTATTGCAGAAAAAGAAAGGTTAATACACACCAATAAATCGATGCCTGTGCCAAGTGAGTTGAGCCCAATAAAAAAGTCGTTGCTTAGAATTGTAATAATTTATATCACGTCCGGGATAAAATAAAAAATAAACTTCATCAATGTCCGCTTAAAGATGCATTTGAAAAATAAAAAAATTTTTTTTTTTTTTACAGACGCTGACATTGTTCAAGATCTTCCGGCTCAATTGTCCTTGGAGGAGGAGGAACGTAGCCTAAAACGTAAGTATTTAAAATCAATATTTATGTTTACATACTATATATTTTTCCTTAAAGTAGAAATAATCGTCGTCAAAAATAAGTAAACAAGTCTATCTCGCTTCAAAACTGGAACTTGAATATTAAAATGCTGTTATCTTTTATACAAAGTAGACGTTCTTGTTATGCAAAGCAATGCAATTTGACGGCGCCACTCGCAAAAGCAAAAATTATTTACTGGTATAGGTCAGTGGCTTTAGATCTTTGACCTCTAGAATCTAATCCGAAATTTGCAAAACTTTTTTTTTTAATTTCAATATAGGGAAAAGAGACTAATTGTTTATTAAATTCACAGAGTTTGGAACACTTCTAACTGGTAGAACGAGTCAAATTTTGAAACGTGATGATTTTGGTAAAAAATCAACAACAACGTCTTCATTTGATGTTGTTTCAAATTACATAGCAACAGGTCGTTTTACATTTCATCGTAAAAATCTCTACTATTCGTTTGCATTCACGGCAATGACGCCACGACCAAGGATATTACAATTTCTCGATGTAACGGGTAATATTTTAGAGGAACAAACACTTGATCCAATTGGTGGGGTTTATCAAAATGCAACCGGTAAACTTTGTGGTGTTTGGCGAAGAGTTGCGCGAGATTATCGTAAATTATTAAAAGAAGAAAGACTATTTGTGAGTCTTACTTGGGAAACGACGTCATCATTAAATGGACGTTTATCGAGATATCGAGCATTGTCCACTGAACAGTTTAGTTCACTTTTGGAACCATCTTTGGGTGTTGATCGTGCAGCAATGTCAGGTTCCGGTGCAACTGCAATTGTATCAGCAACTTCGTTTATTTCAACACCTTCTGTTCATATTTCGTTGATATTCAATGGACTCTTTTTACCCAATGATATTGTTGATGTGCCAATAGTTGTTCAATTGGAGCACGCTGAAAAAAATCACATTGTATTGCGTGAGGAAATTTTGGTGAAGAAACCATCGAATGAAATAAATAGCGGTGAAGTTAGAGGGACGATAACGGTGACGGATCTGAGGTTACTTTCCAGGGGAAAGCTCACCATCAGTATTATGTCAAAGAAGGATCCAGAGGCGTTAAAATTATCGGGAGCAGTTTCGCCAAGAGTCAGTTGTGATATGTATCAGGCACTATTGACTTCTGATGTGGGAACAGCGTCGGGACTTGGTTGGGCATTTTTGGATCGATATGGAGCAATGAGGTATGGATTCGAAGTACTGGGAATGGAGAATCAGTATCCGGTTGCTTTGACTCTTATTGACGAGAGTGGTAAGAAAAAACTTGAGGTCGAGGATTTAACGCCTTCGCTGATTGGAGGTGTTGCTAATGGAACACTCGAGAGACCTGGACCTAGACTTTTGGAACCACTTTTGAATGGAGATCTCGCAGTGGTTGTGTCTTCTTTACAACAAACTGGTAGCAGTCTTAAGGGACGTTTAGTCGCAAGACCAGTTGCTGATGCAAGAGACACGGCTGGTCCTGTTCTTTTGCGAAGGGTCGATCAAAAGGTAAGTCTAAAATACCCTCTGAACTCCCAAAAACTTGGGGAGTTTTATAATTTTTTTATTTGGCTTTTCAGGATGCAAATCCAGTACCCGTGGGTTTAGTGTGGGCATCAGTTGATCCCGATTGTACTCTACATTACGAAGTAGAAATTTCCGGTCTTCCAAATGATCAAGATACAAGAGGTTTGAGGCTCTATTTGGAAACAATGCCAGCTTTGGCGCAAGGTGCTCCTGTATCGAGGCGATTACTTGAAGAATTTACGGGATCAGTTTTGGAGGGTTCGGTGGCAGGACTATTGCCAGTGGAACTCTATCGTATAGAATCGGGTATTGGATTTCTTGAAGTGACGAATAATCAATCGAGTAAATTGCTGAAGGCTCCGTTTAAGACAAGAGCGCCTTTGAGTTGTTTACCTCATTATGCAGACAATGATGTGGCATCGGTGGTTGCTTATAACCTTCAACCACCACAATCGGATCTAGAAGTAACGGCTTGTTTTCATGAGACACGATTTTATGAAGAGGGAACACAATGGACGTCGAGTTCAGATCCCTGTTCCATGTGCCATTGTCGCAGGGGATTGGCGCACTGTGATCCTGTTCCGTGTCCTGTTTTACAATGTGCAATTGGAAAACAAATGAAGGCACCTGGGAATTGTTGTCCCATTTGTTCAGGTAGTTATAATGAAGTTTTCTGAATAATAAGAATCCTTTAAATGAAGTTATCTGAATAATAAGAATCCTTTAAATGAAGTTATCTGAATAATAAGAATCCTTTGACTGTCGGAAAGCCTAAATTTAAGCTTTTTTTTGATGGATTTTGCTAAATGCTGGCTGGCTAATGATTAATCATATTATCCAAGGAATCCTGTAACAAAACAAAAAATTAATTTCTAAAATCCTTCCCTAGTGTTGGTAGAAATTTATCCTTCAAAAATTTACTTACCACTGCTTTTTAGTATCGAAACTCAATGATGACAATACGACAATTGCCCTGACGAAGGGATGCACTTTGGCTGGACAATTTCATCTTGCTGGATCATCATGGCATCCTTATTTGCCACCAAATGGTTTTGATACTTGTGCCCTTTGTACCTGCGATGTAAGTTGTGATTAGAAATCATTTAATTTTTAAAATTTAATAATTTCTTTTTATAAAACTTTTTATAAACTTTCTGTTTTTTAGATCATGACACTCCAGGTGCGTTGTCCACGAGTTCAGTGTCCTCCATTAGACTGCGATGAGAAGGATGCGTTCAGACCGGAAAAGAAGGCTTGCTGTAGACAATGTCCAATTTTAAATGTAACTTACGCCAATGGAACGGAAGCACAACTTCCAAGGGATCAGGCAGCGATATCGATACGTCGCACATCAGAAGAGATACTCGCCTCAGGTGGATGTAAATATCCCATTGGTGGTCCTTATGAAAATGGAAAAGAATGGCATCCACGAATTCATTCACATGGGGAGGCAAAGTGCGTCAAGTGCCGTTGCAAGGTAAGTCTTTTTTTTCGTAAATTTTTGTAAAGGAGCGTAAATGTCGGTAAAAAAAATGGTAACACCAAGTATAATTTTGTAAAAAAGCGTAATTCTCGTTAAAAGATGGTAATACATAGATCGTAAACTTCGATTAAGTACAGGGTAACTAAATGGAAATATCGGTCAAAGGTGGTAAACGCTCGTAAATTATGATAAAGCAGCGTAAGTGACGGTAAAAGAAGGTAATAGTTTGTAACTATCGGTAAACGAAGGTAACGAATCGTAAATTTCGGTAATAGAACGTAAATTTCGATAAAAATATTTAACTTTCGGTAAAATGTTGTAAATTTTGGTAAGAAATCGTAAAATTTGGGTAAATATCGGTAAAATGTCGTAATAGTTCGTAAAATAAGGTTAAAAAAAAATTTGTACAATTATGGACTTCCGTTTTTGCAGAACGGTGACATCCGCTGCGATCGTAAACGATGTCCACGATCAGTTTGCAATTCAATTGTACATCAAATAAGACGTGGTGAACGTCCCGCTAATTTGGATGATTGCTGCGCTTATCAATGTCGACGAGCACGACGTCATCATCGAAACAATCATCATTCGTCGTCAAAACACGCAGTTGCACTACGTGGACTCAGCTGAGTTTTCGTCTAAAAAAAATGTTTGTGTAATTTTTTTTTTTTTCACTTAATATTCCATCAATTTTCTCTGATTGATTGATAATGTTTTGCAATATAATTTGGCTCTTATCACAAAAGCCAATAATTTATAATCACTCTCTCTCTCTTCTACTCGAATATTACTGACCAATCAGAGTTGCTTTGAAAAAAAATGAGTTGTGGACGTACCTTAATGTCATAAATATTGTTCACACCTGTTGTTATGGTAATATGTCTCCCTCATTGCTTTGATACCATATAGACAGTAGTGTGAACAAACCCTAAGAGGGAAATTCACTAGAACATCCGAAATGTGAAACTATGTCCTCTATAATATTCTGCCATTTTGTATTGTAAAATGAGCTTTATTTGAGAAGAAATTTTTTTTCACATTTCAAATGTTTTAGTTATATTTCTATTGTCTCTTTAGTAAAAAAAAAAAAGAGAGAGATAGAGGGAGCGTCGAAGAGAAAGGTGCGTCATTATTAAAAACTTGCCAATTTGCGCGCACCCGCACTCTCCGAGTTACCCAAAAGCCAAAGAAGACTGAAGAACCTAGATGGCGTTATCATCGGTTCTTACATTAAAAAAAAGCCATTGTTAATCGTACGCTATATATAAATTTTTTTTCAAATCGCGATGCAAATCAATTATGGCAAATTGATATTTAACCTGAAAAATACTCAATGTACAGAAGCTTAGCATTTAAATTTTGCGCTCTTTTTTTTATGAAATATTATTTTTTCAAAGAGCTGACAGTGTCAGTGATTATTTTTCAGGTTATGTTGTTACAATACAATTTCAATTCCTTTCGTTTGTTTTTTATTTCTGTTAGATTTTTCTTTTTTTTTTTTTTTTGATCCATTGAAAAAATTTATTTTGTCAAAATAGAAAATTTTTGTATATTTTTGATTGGCTTCTTCAAAACTTGTCCAACAGTAAACCAATTAAAATACAAGTTACATGGGAAATGTCGCTTTTACCCCTACCATCTTAAAAATTGATTTGCATCCGATTTTCGCCCAATTCATCGCTTTTCACAAGCATTCATTATTATTATTATTATTATTATTTTTCTTAGAATTAAGTATAACTTATATATTCAGACCAGATTTTGATATAAAACTTCGATTCTTGAATTGAAATTTTTTAGAATTTCAAAAATTCTGAGAATTGGAGGTTATAATCGTCAAAAAAAAAATTATTTTTTTTGCAGCTACTTTATTGTATTTTAACTTTCTGAAAAATCAAAAAAAATTTCCTTTTTTTTGTGCTATTGTGACAATAATAATTATTAGTATTAGAAAAATCTGATAATTGTTGTAAAATTGTCAAAATGCAAAACGTAAACAGAAAAAAAAAATGTAAAAGGTAAAAATTGCCTCGGGTAAGGAAAAAAAAAATTATCAAACGTTATTGATTGGGATTTAGTAATTATTAGGGGAAAAAAATTACCGGCCAATCAAAAACGTTTAATGCATTGGAATTTTTAGTAGGGGGGAAAGCAAGGTTGAGAAAATTTGTACTCTAGTCAATTTTTACATTCATCTTTTTCTTTACGTTTTTCTTATTAATTAGGCGCGGATTTTTATGTGAGTAAAAACAATTTTTTTTATAATTTTTTTTTTTTAATAATCAGCAGGATTTTTTTTTTTTTTTTTTGTAATAATAGCAGAATATTTTTTATACTGTTTTAGTTTTTCATATTTATTTGTAATTTTTTTTTTAAAATCTAGGGATGTTGTCTATAAATATATAAAAAAAATAATTTGGGTGAAATTGCTTTCTTAAAAGTTCGCTGCCTAGTCATTATTATATTGTATATCAAAAATAATTTTAATTCTATTAAAAAAAAAATTTTTTTTGGTTTTTAAAATCCAAAATATTATTTATAATTCTTTTTTTTTTAAACAATAAGTAGGTAATTTTTTTTAATAATTATTTATTTAATTTATACTCAGCAGCAAAGACTGAGGAGAATTGCGCACTTATAAAAAAAGAGTAAAAAAACTATTTTTATTGAAAAATATTTTTAAAAGAAAAAAAATTTGTCTCTGCTGGTGAGTTTATATATATATATATATATATATATATAAAGCGTCTTATTTATTACTCTGGGCAATTTTTTCGACAAAATTGACATAAACAAACGCTACGTGCCAGTAAATGTGTATTTCACGAAGAGGAGAATGATTTAGTTTCTAGATATACATATATATATATAAATATATATATATATATATATATAGTAGGCGTAGCTGATAATTAGGAATCGAATTCAATGTTACCGCTGTTATTATACTGCGACTATTCAGATTTTGTATTTTCTACAAAAAAAAACATAGATTAAAAAAGAAGCGAAAGAAAAATTTGTAATAAATAAATTTTTTAGTATTGTTTTATATGAAAATTGTATACTTTAGGCTGAGTCCACAGTGGGCTGATTATGTTAACATAAGAATCTCATTTGTTGATACAGCTTTAGTGATCCAGTGTATACTTGGCTTAACACTGGTTTTTGAAAAATTACATTCAGTAGAAATATTAAAATTACTTACACTGAGACTCAAGCAAACTATTTTTTTTTTTTAAATCAGTTATATTTTTTTACAATTTTCTAACCTTAAAAACAATAGAGGTAGTCGAGGATTACACCCAACTGTACTTTCGGTTTTACGACATTTTAAAAAGTCGTGACACCTCTATAATAGTTTTTATTATAGACGTATCAATAGAGAAGTTATCTGAATAGTAAGAATCCTTTAAATGAAGTTTTCTGAATAATAAAAATCCTTTAAATGAAGTTTTCTGAATAATAAAAATCCTTTAAATGAAGTTCTCTGAATAATAAAAATCCTTTGAAACGAATGCTTCCGTTACGACATCATTGAAAACTCACTGGCGACTGAAAAATATAAAATGCTGTCAAACACCTGAAATGTGTTGATCGTTAGGCTGTGTTTACACGACTGCGTTTTGCTTTGCACAATGAGTGAAAAAACGATGAAAATATGTTTCTCTCTTTCTCATTGTTCAATGTAAATGGGACCTTACCGTTTCACTTTTGCATTTAGCAACTTTTGTCCCATGAAAAGGCACCTTTATTCGAATTTTTGTTAATAATAGTAACCCATCCCTTCAAAAGCTAATTTACAATTGAATCTAAAAAGTGAATTTGAAAAGAGATATATTTCTATCCTTTTCTATCTCATGCATCTCCTTTTAGAATCCATTGTAAATTGACCCTAATAAAACCAAACTAACAAGTGTCGCTAGTAGTCTCATTGAATTTAAGATTTAATATTTCTGAGTAATGCGTTTTTGAAATTGAAACCTTGTGAACAAACAGTATGAATGTCAGAAATTTGTAAACAGAATTCTAGATAAATTATTTTTTTGGTATTAGAAAATATTAAAATTTTGGTGCGTAAATATGCGTGAAAAAAATTTTTTGCGTAAAATATGCTAAGATAATGTAACAGTGATTTACTTGCGCTGAAAATTTTTAGGTCCTTGATCTGAAATGCCTATAAATGTGACGCGCTCTGAAAGAAAGGGAAAAAATTATAGGTTATGTTTATAATAGTTTACAAACTATCATAAACATAACCAATAATTTTTTGCTATTTTTAACATCTTTTCTCTCCAGAGCGCCTCATACACTGTACGTACTTCCGGTTTCCGATTTTAAAAATTCGTGACACTTCTATAATAATTTTATTAATTCGTGGCGTATGTATTTGCCATACGCCACGAACTAATGAAATTATTATAGAAGTGACACGACTTTTTCAAATTAACACATAATTCTCGTCAACTACCGCACCCTGTTCTAGTGAAAATTCAGTAACTTTTAATTTTAACAAAAAAGTCACTAAATTTTCACTAGATCAGGGTGCGGTAATTGACAAAAATGGGGACAATGGAAACCAACCACCATGAACTAAAAAAATTATAATAGAAGTGTCACGACTTCCTCAAACCGGAAGTACAAATCGTCGGTATATTTGACCAAGTGTACAACTTTCTATTTATAGCTTTTTTTGTCACCATCCGGTATTATTAAAAAAAAAAAAATTTTGCGATTAGTTATGTAGATTCTTTTTTTTCCTTTTTTTTAACGCACCGCTGGCAGTATTTATCAGTGGAGCGACTTTCGCTCAGATACGCTTAAAGTTGATTAAAAAAAATTAATAATAATATTAATTAAATAAAAAAAAAATAAATAAAACACTGTGAATGAAAGAAAAAGTTGGGACTTTGGTAAGAGGCCTTTCTCTCACATATGAGAGATATATATATATAAATGAGAACTAGAAACTTTTTTTTATACGAAAGAATGATATAACTATAAACTTTTTTTTGTATGTTTTTTGCGTTTTTATTTGTAAACTGTTATATAATGAGCAACGTTTACGTTGTTTAGGTTTATTAATTACTAACTTGGCTCATAAATATTATCATCCTTTTTTTCTTTTAAAAAATAACGGTAAATCCATTCCAAATATCGATATATCGATAAATTTTTTTTTTTTTTTAAATATAATCGACTATTGAAAACTATTTTCGATATTTAAGATATCGATACATCAGTTTCGATATAGTTCACTAACATATCTTTGATAGATCGATATATCGAAAGTTCGATACAACCATTTATAAAAATATTCGTTATATTTAAATATAAAAATTTGGAAAGTGTAAAAAAAATTAAACGCACCCAATTTTGTAACTGCTGTTCTTCCAGTTGAAAATTCGTGACACTTCTATAATAATTTTATTTAGTTCGTGGCGTAAACATTGATTACAATAAACACCACGAACTAATAAAATTATTATAGAGGTTTGATGGTATTTCGAAAAGTCGTGACACTTCTGTAATAATTTTATTTAGCTCGTGGCGTAAACATTGGTTATTCGTCATAAACTAATAAAATTATTATAGAAGTGTCACGACTTTTCGAAATACCATCAAACCATAAGGAAAGCAGTTACGTGTTTTTTTTTTTTTTTAAAATTACTATTCTAATTGGCTTGACAATTTTTTTTGTTTAGTGAAAATTTTTGTCATAGATAATAAAGAATATTGATGAGCCTCATCACTAATTATTGTATACACACACACACACACTATGCGAAAACATCGATAAAAAAAAATGCAAGTTTTTTTTTGCATCATTCTCTTAATCGACAAATATTATATATGAAAACATATCATCGTGATAATCACAAAACACAATTATAATCACTGTATATCAGAAAAATCATAATTAAACGTTTAATTTTGTTGAATGTTGATATCGATGGTTTTTTAAAGTGAATAAACAATCGTGATAACGTCTTTGGCATTTGTTTTATTGTATATATATTCAAAAATATAGGTTAAGACGAAACATAACCTTAAAAATTAAGGTCTTATGTCAAAAACATAGGTTAAAACGAACATAACCTCAAAATTGAAGGTCGCAAATATATGTCCGTTACTGATATAATGACGTGAATATAGCCGCAATACTTTTTTTCTCCTTTCTTTAAAGCTGCGTTCACAATGGACTTCTTGTGTTGATATGACAGAACGAATAGAATAGATTTCTTATTGTATTCGTTCTGTTATATCAAGACAAGAAATCCATTGTGGACGCAACTTAAAGCAAAGTGTTACTATGGCAATAGGCCTAAGCGAAATGAAATCTCTAATCGTAAATTTTAAGCTTTTACATGAGAGAGAAAAGGACAAAAGATATTTCTATCCTTTTCTCTCTCATGTAAAAGCTTAAAGGTACGGTCACACGACTTTTGGAAAAACCATTCTTGTCTTTCTCTCTCCTAAGACAGAGGCATAAGATTGTCTCACTCTGCATTTTCTTACATTTCCCAAAGACGGAAAATGCAGAGTGAGACAAACTTATGCGCCTGTAATAGGAGAGAGAAAGACAAGAATGGTTTTTCCAAAAGTCGTGTGACCGTACCCTAAGATTTACTATTAGAGATTTCATTTTGCTGAAGCCTAGTGGTTACCAGGGCAGCAGATGCCATAGCAACCGTTGCTATGGCGCCTCATAGAGCAAGATGTGAACATAACCTCAAAACATAGATTAAAGATTAAGTAGCAAACATAACCTCAAAATTTGTGTCAAAAGACAAGAGAGGCATAACCTCAAAGTTCAGGTCACAAGTCCAAAAGGGAAACATAACCTCAAACTTTTAGTTTAACTATATTAAATAATAAATAATTAATATTATTTTTTTAAATTATTAATAAATACTCAATAATTATAAATATTAACTTTATAATATTGTTAATTATTTTGAAATTATTATAATTTACCTTACAATATTATGAAAAGAAAAATTACAAATTAATAAATAATTATAATTACACTCGTTTTTTTGAACTACTTTGTGTGAACAATTATTATAACAACTGGTGACATTTGTGTCATTAATTTTGCAAACTATTGTTGTTCATTAAACAATATAGTCTATCTTGTGAAAAAACACTTGTGCGTACATTAAAATTCAAAACTAATCGACATATAAATAACGGTCAAATGAAAATTATATTTCTTGTCACTAAATAGTCTTTTGCGTGTTTATAACTCCGGAAAGATTAAAAAAAAAAAAAAACATTAAAAATGAGAATTTTTTCAATTACATTTGCTCTTGTCGGCATTTTAGTTTCGGTAATTTATGCAATACCAGCAATACCCGATCCAATTGATGCTGCTTCAAATTTAGCCAATCGATTTGGACAAATTCCTGAGGATTTGGCCGATATTGGTTTATCGCAAATGGAAAATGTACTTAAACAAGCTAAACAAGCGGCAAATGCTGAAAAAAATCCGGGTTTATTGCATAATTTAGTTCCACGTATTGATAATATGATTAATAAAGTTCGTAATCTTGCAAAAGATTTAACTCTTGGAATATCAGAAGTTGGATTTAAAGGATTATTAGGACTTCCCTCGGATGATAAATAATGCAGGTGAGATTTATTTATTGGGAAAAAAAAAAATTTTTTTCCCTCTAGGGAAAAATCAATCAGAAAATAATTACTAGATACCCACTAGCCATTTGTCATAATTCTCGTCAACTATCGCGCCCTGCTTTTGTAAAAATTTATTGACTTTATTATTAAAATTAAAAGTTACTAAATTTTTACTAGAGCAGGGTGCGGTAGTTGACGAGAATTATGACAAATAGCAAATGGGGACAATGGAAATCAACCGAATGGTTACACCATAAATCACGAACTAATAAAATTATTTTAAAGATTTAACGGGATTTCGAAAAGTCGTAACACTTCTATAATAATTTTATTAGTTCGTGGCGCGTATCAATAGAGAAGTTATCTGAATAATAAGAATCCTTTAAATGAAGTTTTGTGAATAATAAAAATTCTTTGAAACGAACCCTCACGATACGAAATAATTAAAAAAAACTGGCGATTCATTGAAAAAGTATTACCTCAATTTCAATGAATTTTATTTAGTTAGTTTCTATAAACAATTTGTATCGGTAGGGAAGTTGTCTGAATAATAAAAATTCTTTAAATGAAGTTTTCTGAATAATAAGAATCCTTTAATAATATTGTCCCAAGTAATCCTGTAACAAAAAAATAAATTAATTTTTCAAAAAAGGAAAATTGAAAAAAAGAAACAAATCATGTTATGCTTACCAAAAACATAATTGATTACAGATGTTTGACGACATTTCTAAAAGTCGTGACAATTTTTCTATAATAATTTTATTAGTTCATGGCGTATATAATGCAGGTTGGTTTTCATTGTTCCCACTCGCCATTTGTCATAATTCTCGTCAACTACCGTACCCTGTGAAAATTTAATGACTTTATAGTTAAAATTAAAAATTACTATAAAGTCACTAAATTTTCACAGGGTTAAATTTTCTACTGCACCCTGTGAAAATTTAGTGACTTTATAATTAAAAAATAAAAGTTACTGTAAAGTCACTAAATTTTCTCAGTGTGCGGTAGTTGATGAGAATTATGACAAATGGCGAATTGGGACAATGAAAACCAACCCTTATATGCAATAGGTTAAATATAAACGCTTTCTAATTGGTTGATAAGTTTTCTGGACTAATTTGCCAGCCAATCAGAAATATTGTTTACTAAAATTAACCCAAAATCGGAAACTATCATTACATATTCAATTTTAATTTTAAAAAAATGAAATAATTATTTTTAATTTTATTTCCAGAACCACTTAACAGAAAGAAATTCTTATCAATATATACATATATTATTTGTTTTGAGAAAAAATCTAAAGGAGAAAAGGAAAATTTCCAGAGAAATATTAAAGTTGTAATTTTTTAAAAATATAATTTATTAAAATTGTTATTAAAATTGTAATTTTTAAAAAATTTTAAATAAAAATTTAATATCATTACCTGAATTCCTAAAAAAAATGAAATTATTAATAATGAACTTATTAATGAATAATTTGAATTTATTTTTATTACAAGAACAATTTTTCTATTAAAAATTTTTTTTTTAGAGAATTAGAATATTTAATTTAAAACATAGAATATTAAAAATGTTTTATTTAATATTCTGTATTTTAAATTCAATATTTCAATTCTTTTTCTAAAAAAAATGTTTTTTAAGCTAAAAAGTTTTAAAGGCAATGTATAATTAAAAAAACCATTTTTTTAGAAAACTTAACTTTTTATTTTAATATAAAAAAGTACAATAAAGATTTTTTTTTTAGAAAAAATAAAATAACTAATCAACTACAATATTATTTCTTCTTCTTCTTTTTTTTATTCAAAATGACCAGCAGCAATTAATGTAATTTGCCTGCTTTCCTTTGGTACTTCTAATTTTGAATTAAGATGTTTTATTAACGTTTTCTGTAATTCAAACCTCCTCTCTAATCGTCTTAATTTTTGCCTCAACATTTTTATCGTTTGCCTTTGATCTTTAACTTTTTTTGATGCCGACTGAAGTTTCTTCACTGTTGTTTCATGTATTTTCAATTCTTCTTTTTTCTTTTTCAACAATAAAGCTTTTCTTTTTGCCTCCTCTTTTGTGGATATAATTGAATTTTTTACAATCTTAGGAATCCTATATATATTTTCAATAGGAAAAAAAAATTACATCTTCATTTAAAAAAAACATGATTTCAAAAAAAAAAAAAAATTGAAAATTATTATTAGAAAAATAAAAACTTACACAGTTGGTGTAATTGAATTAATCCTATTAACTGGTTGATTAATTTTTAAAGCATACAACATTTTACCACTAGAAAAGAAATTTAATTTTACCATAAAATTTTTATTTTATTTTTTTTTTTTCAAATTAAAAAAATTTTTACCTAAACGGTTGTGAAATATTTGGCACTAATGGTTGATATGTTACAGGCATGTTAAATTTTACATCTGGCATTATTATATTTCTGAAATAATTAAAATATTTCAATTTATAGTGAGATAAAAAAAAAAATTTTTTATCATCGTAATTGAAAATAGAGAATAAAAAAAAGGACAAAAAGAATTTCTTTCAAAAAATACAATATACATACGGAGTAATATTACAAGGCGGCGTATTTAATACGTAGGGATATTTAATTAATAGTTTTGCGGGTTCGGCAGATTTAATTGTTTCATTATCTTCCAGTCTTGCCACATAGTTATGGTCCGTTAGCACCGTTCTTGCAAAAAAATGAAAAAAAACTATAATTTTTCATAACTTACATTAACATACGTAAATATGCGTAATTTACGTAAATATATGTAACAAACATAAATAAGTGATAAAAGTAAATTACTCATATTAACGTGTTTTACGTTACTTACGTTAAGAGATGTAAATACGTGTAATTTAGGTATATCCGTGTAACGAACGTAAATTACTGGTTTACGTAAATTACTTATATTTACGTAACTTACATAAACATACGTAAATATATGCAATTACGTACATTTAAGTAGCAAAGGTAAATAATTGATTTTAACAAATTATCATATTTGTGAATAATTACGTAGCTTACGTTAATTACGTAACTTACGTTAATTACGTAATTTACGTTGCTTACGCAATCTGCATTACTTACGTAATTTACGTTAATTGTGTTACTTACACCAACATACGTAACTTACGTTAATTACGTTGCTTGCGCCAACATACGTAACTTACGTTATTATAGGTAACCTACACCAATATACATAACTTACGTTAATATACGTAACTTACGTAAATACACATAACTTACGTTAGTATACGTAACTTACGTAAATGTACGTAACTTACATAAATATACGTAACTTACGTTAATATACGTAACTTACGTTAGTATACGCAACTTATGTTAGTATACGTAACTTACGTTACTTTACGTAAGTATAGGTAAATATGCATAATTATGTAAGAAACGTGTATAAACGATTTACATAAATTATTTATATTTACGCGATTTACGTTATTATACGTAAATATATGTAATTACGTAAATTTAGATAACAAACGTAATAATAATGATAGATTTACCCAAATTGCTTCCTTTTACGTTCTTTACGTAACTTGCGTTAATAGACGTAAATATACGTAATTTATGCAAAGGAACGTTGATAAGCGTTTTACGTAAATTACGTTGTTTTACGTATGTTAATGTAAGTTACGTAATTCATGTTAATTACTGGAATATACGTAATTTTGCGTAACTGACGTAAATTAATGTGGTGAACGTTAATATTAGTAATTACTGTAATTTACGTACAGAACGGCAATTTACGTATTTACGTTTTGTAATAAACGTAAAATTTGTAATATAGGTTAAATACGTAGTAAACGTAATATATATAATAAACGTAAATTTTTAAAATTAATTTTTTTTTTCTTACTCTATTGAACAAGTGACTTTTGTTGGCTCTTGTATTTTTGTCATTGCAAGTGTAGGCACTGAATATGGTTTTAATATTCTTTGTCCTAATTCTTTGTGAACTTGAAAACAATCGTCTGTAAAATGTTGTGAGCATATTCTATCCGTTGGTGCAATTAATCCATGATTCATTATTTTACACCAAATTTTTCTTGTTGCTTGATCTGATGGAAATCTTTGGAAAAAAAAATTTCCTTTTTTTAAAGAGTTTTTCATGTACTTTTTAATGAAGAAAAAAAATTTTTTCAAAAAAAAATTTCTACCCCCATTTTTTTTGCAAAATTAACCCTTATTTTTTGTTTTTAACCCCTTTTTACTTTCTTAAAAATTTAAAAAAAAAATTTTTTGAATGTATTAATTTTTTACAGAAAAATAATGTAAATATAAATATGAAATAACAATAAATTTTGCAAAATCTCATATATGACATGTTTAAAATATTTAAGTAAAATATATAATTTAAAAAATATATTTTTATTTACCTGTGAAATGAAATGTCAAATGCTTTATTATAAACTCGTCGACAAAGCATACATTTAACCATATTTATAATTAATATATTTTATTTCAAAAAAAAAAAAAGATATATCACACACAATTAATCGTTATATCTAATTGTTATTTTTCTTTTTTCTTTTTTTTTTAATAATATAAGTTACGATAAAAGAATTTTTTTTACGCGGTTTGACATACACACGAAAATATCAACATAACCTTCACAATGTTATAGAAAATATTTTATAATTCAAAAAAAAGAAAGAAATAGAGAGAAATTTCTCTCTGATTGGTGGAATTAAATGTTCGCCAATGGAAATATTTTTGCCTTCTGCTATACAATCAGGGTTCGGAAGTATTTAAGTAGGGTGGGAGAAAATTCAAAATGGACGCAAACTGAATCGACATGATCGACATTTTTTTATATTGAAATTATTATTTATTATAATTTCAAATTTTTTAAATATCTCCCTTAAATGAAATTTTATTAAAAACATTATAAATAGACATTAATTAAAAACAATTTAATGATAATTTAACAAAAATAAATATTATATTACATAATTAATTATTAATTATTAAATTGATGATAATAATAATAGATTATATATTATATAAAAAAATAATAACAATAATGATATAAATATAATAAAATTATTAATATTATAATTATTATTATTATTATTATTTTTACATACTTAAGTACATTATGTAAATTAATATTTTTTTTTTATTAAAAAGGAATATAATTAACAAAAAAAAAATAAATTCAATAGTGAAAATATTTTTATATTGCTTTATTAACGTTTTCTTATTATTAAGTATTTTATATAAGCGCGCTTTTTTCGACCTATAAGAAAGTTGTCGTAGCGCAAGCGCAGTAGCGTTTAGGTACGGTCATTGACAACTCTGTTTTAACTCCATCCTTGTCTAGTAGTCTTGCCTTTTAATCCCGTAATCACATGGGATTGAATTTTATTATATTATTTTTATATTTTAGTAATATATATTTTAAAAATAGAAAATTAATTACCAAATAATAAAATGGTCGATAAACAGCAAAAACGTGTTGAGGAAGAAATTACAAAACTTGTCGAAGATATTGATAAAAATTTTCTTCGAAAAATGCAGGTAAACTTAACCTTAAAACTAATCTATTTTTTTCCCCCTATATAAATATATATATATATATATAGTTTTGATGTTAAGTTGTTTGGATCTTTATTTAAATTTATAGTATGATGTTTAAATTTTTAATAAGTATATTTTTTGCTTCATTATTTTATTTTATTAACATAAAGCTTTTCGCGTAAAAACATTAGACATCTGCAGATGAAAAAAAGGTTATGGTTTATCGTCGCTACAATATAAAATATATTATGAAATTAAAATATAACATATAAAAATAGAATATAAAATTAAAAAGTAAAATAAATTTTTAAATGTAACGTATACGAATTTTAAATTTTCAATAAACATAACCTTAAATTACATAACATATTCAATTTTAATAATTTTACTTTTTTAAAAAAATTTTTTAAATTTAATTTTTTTACATTTCTAAAATTTTAATTAATCTTTCAGACATTTAATAATTTTTTTTTTTTTTTTTTTTTTTTAAATTAAGGACGTTTATCCATGGAAATGCAGACCTCGAGAAAAAAATTAATTAATTAACATTTAAATAATTAAAATAATAATTCTATACTCTGTTCCAGGAGAGATCGATATTTTTCTGTGCATCTTGTTGTAAAAGGGTGTATATTTTGAAGTGAAAAAGGCGTTTTCTAGATTTTTTTTTTTTTTCTGAAAAACATAGCCAATATGATATGAAAAGGATTGTAACATGTGTTGCTTTTTCTATATAACTAAAATCAAGCAAACATATTTAAAATTTTTGTGAACTGCGAACATGCTATGGGATTCCTTTTAGCAACGGCGCTAAGTAGCGCATTGCATTAATTAGCATTAAAAAATTAATTTTTTTTTTTTTTACAGACTTATTGTATATGATAATCAAGATCAACTACCGTTTGAATTTTGTTAAAAAAAAATTAATTAGTGGCGTGTAAGATAAAAAACAAAGTCAATCGGCGCGCTACGAGTTAGCGAATTGGTCAAGCTTTTGTTACAAATTGCTTTGGAGCGTAGCGCAAAGTCACTAGCTATAACACAAATTGAAATTCACTTAAGAGGAGAATACACTGAGTTTTTTTTTTCAAAAAATCAAATTTTTTTTTAGTTTTCGTTACCATAATTATTTAAGGTGGCGATAAAAATTGTTTACAATGTTTTCAAGGGTTATAACAGGGTTAAAATAAAGTGGTTAACCCACTTGGTGTTTAATTTTTTAAAAATCCTTTTTTTTTTGCCTATACAAATTAAAATTTTTATATTCATATGGAAAACAAAGTTTTCATTATCCAACATAATAAGAATAATCATATAATTCGTATAATAAAAAATTATAAAACTAAATTAATTTATTTAACAAATAAATAAGAAACTCAACCCCCTCCCCCCTTACCCCCCTTATAAATGAAGTTTTATTCTAATTCTATTAATATAATTCTTGTAAATTTTTTAAAAAAAGTTCCATTTTTTTCCTTTTTTAAGTTTCCAACTTTTTTATTAGACCATTTTTAAAATAATATATAATATTCATCCGTAGCGTAGCGCTACTTAGCGCCGTTGCTAAACGAAATCCCATAGCAGGTCTCTAGAAGGTAGTCGGAAGGGTCTTTTATGGCTTTTCATTGCAAAATTAAAAATTGTTGGAATTTAAAAAAAAAAAATTATATAAATATTATGTTTGCAATGTACAGGTTAAAACAATTACAACGATATAAAAATTTTTTGCAAATACTATAAGATGCAGAGTTTGTACATAATATGTAAATCATGAAATTATATAACTTTTCCAAAAGCAAATTTTAATATTTAGACGTAAAAATTTATATCGTTGGAATCGTCAAAATGTGCAAATGGTAAATTTAATATTTAAAAAATTATTTCTTTGGATTTAAATATTTTTTATTTTGCTCACCAAAATACCATAAAATCTATAAACGACCCTAAAATGGATAAAAAAAAATTTAGTTGTCAATACACATGTTTCTTCAAATTTAAAAGAAATTGAAAGAGAAAACTTATTTATATAGCGTAAAGGGACCAAATTCGATTTTTTTTTTCTCTCCTGGAACCGAGTATACTTTCTGAGAGAAAATATATCAATTTTCAAGGAAAAAAATTTTAAACCTATAAAATTATTTTTTTTTTTTATATAATTTGCATATAGAATAAAAATTTCTGTTTTATCGTGAATTTTAAGAAAAACAAAATTGAAATAAATACAAATTTTTTAATTAGTTTAAATAAATTATTAAAATGAAAAAAAAAAAATTTTTTTTAGGCCAATTTTATTCTTTAAAAATGAAAAAAGAATTTTTTAATAATAAATTTAGTATTAATTTTTTAGGCTGACATGCACAGATGTGCAGCAACATGTTATGACAATGATAGCTACAGTGTTCATAGAGCTGCAAATTGTGTGGAAAATTGTACATCTTCATTAAATAAAGCTCAACATTTTATTTCAGGGGAAATCGAAAGAGTGCAGGTTTATATTTTTTTATTTATTTATATTTACACTTTTACGGGCCAGAAGCCCCTTTAGTATATAAAGTACTTAACAAAAAGATAAAAAAAAAAAAAAAAAACTACAAACTAAAATAAGAAATGAAAAAATAAAAAACAAGTTGTAAATTCAGATGTTCATTACATGAAAATTTTGCTTTCTCTTTAGGATTAGCAAAAAAAATTTGCTTCCTCGTGAAGAAAACATTAACATTGAAATAAACATACAAAAATAATATAATAATTTATAAACATTTGAGTTAAATTTAAATAATTAATGGAAGTTAAAAAATTCACATTTTAGCTGAAATTTCTAAAAATTAATAAAAAAAATAATATATAATTTATAATTATTTACAATTATATCGATTCGTTTCAATGCAAGGAACACAGTTATTTTATATTTAAAACTTGAATTTAAATAAATACAAAATTTTTTACCTAAAATGTGAATTTTTTATTTTTTAACTTTCATTAATTTATTAAATTTACCTCAAATTTAAATTTTATATATACCAATCGATTTGTTTTCATGTAAGGAATATAATTATTTCATCTATAAAATTAAATTTAAATAATCACAAAATTTTATAGCCAAAATATGAGTTTTTGATTTTTTAACTTTCATTAATTCTTTAAATTTAAATTAAAATTATACTTTATATATACCGATCGAGATTTATCTTGACGTAAGGAATATGATTTTATTATATATAACCTTAAATTTTTCTATTTAAAAATTTTTACGATTAAAAAAAAAAATTTGGAAAAAAGACGATAAAATTTTTTTTTTGGGTATTTTTTAAAATCCTTTGGTCAGTTTTTAGATATTAATATGATAAATAGGCCTACCAAAATTTATCTAAATCCATTAAGTTATTTTCTAAACAAAAAAGGGATGCACACACACACATTCATACATCCGGACAATTGATCAGGATCTCGTATAACATGTTTCTATATAGAGAAAAATTTGTTTCCGCCACTTTGAAAATTTTTATAAACGAAAGGACTACAAAGCATTCTCCACGAGGAAGCAAAATACATCGAGAAAAAAGATTTCTTTGTTGCAAAGAAATCAATTTGTTTGACAAATTTTTTTTTTGTTACAAAGAAAATTTATTTGTTTCAAACAAATTATTTTTGATTCAAAGCAAAAAAATTATCTTCGTTTTAAAGAAATTTTTTCTTTAATTCAAATAAATGTTTCTTTCAGCCTATATCAATGTTCGAATTTCTTTAATTTAATGCACAAATTTTTTTTTTCTTTGAATCAAAGAAATTTTTTTTTTTTTGAATTTAAGAAGCTTTTTTTGTTTCAAAGAAAATTTTAATTTTAATAAAAGAAAAAAAAGTCAAAGAAATTTATTTCTTTAAATCAAATAAATCTTTTCTCTGGGTCTAATAATATTAATAAAATAATAATTTAATTAACAATACATATTTTTTTTTTAAGAAGATTTCAATAAATTATTATTATTAATTTAATTGCGTAAAAAATATTTTTTTTGGTAAATTAAAAATAAAATAGTTTTTTTATCAACATTTTTGGAAAAAATTTATTTTCTTTTTCTAACATTAAAATATACAGTTTGTTTGGAATAAAAAAAAAAAATTTTCCACATTAATAAAAAAAAAAACGTAATATTTCTCCACAGAATCGATTGCAACGGTGCGTGATGGATTGTAATGATAAAATACGCGATAAAATGGGTCCATCGCCATCGCAAAGTGTCGCCGATAGATATAGCAATGAATTTGAAAATTGTGCAACATCGTGTGTAGATACATATTGTGAAATGATGCCATCTGTTGAAAAAACAATCAGAAAAGCCCTCTCGAGTGGTGAATTTAATAATTTACCATCATAAATTGTTTTTATAGTTTAAAAGAAAAAAACTTTGTAAATAGAATTTGAAACTATTACCGTTTTTTTTGTTACGAAAAAACAAAAATGTTGACATAATGTGACATTTTTTTAAGCAAAATGTTATACGTTTCTGTAATAAAAGAAATATACCAAATTTTTTAAATGTGTAATTTTTTTCTAAATTTAAAAATTTTATAGTTGCAAAACATAAATTATTTAAAAAATAAAATAGTTTACATTTATTTTTCATTGTTTTTTATGTATTACACAATTTAACTCAATAAAAAAAAAATTTTTCATTACCGACATAGAAATCTACCTTACTGACTGATGGTAAATCAGTTTTTTTAAAAATGAAAATATAAAAAATTATCGACATAGAAATCTACCTTACCGACTGATGGTAAAGCAGGTTTTTTTGAAAAATGAAAATATAAAAAATTATCGACATAGAAATCTACCTTACCGACTGATGGTAAAACAGGTTTTTGAAAATATAAAAATTACCGACATAGAAATCTGCCTTACCGACTGATGGTAAAACAGTTTTTTTGAAAAATGAAAATATGTAAAATTACCGACATAGAAATCTACCTTACCGACTGATGGTAAAACAGTTTTTTTTGAAAAATGAAAATATAAAAAATTACCGACATAGAAATCTACCTTACCGACTGATGGTAAAACAGTTTTTTTTTGAAAAATGAAAATATAAAAAATTACCGACATAGAAATCTACCTTACCGACTGATGGTAAAACAGTTTTGAAAAATTACCATCGGTCGGTAATTACCATCAGTCGGTAAGGTAGATTTCTATGTCGGTAATTTTTTGTATTTTCATTTTTCAAAAAAACTGTTTTACCATCAGTCGGTAAGGCAGATTTCTATGTCGGTAATTTTTTATATTTTCATTTTTCAAAAAAACTGTTTTACCATCAGTCGGTAAGGTAGATTTCTATGTCGGTAATTTTTTATATTTTCATTTTTCAAAAAAACTGTTTTACCATCAGTCGGTAAGGTAGATTTCTATGTCGGTAATTTTTTATATTTTCATTTTTCAAAAAAACTGTTTTACCATCAGTCGGTAAGGCAGATTTCTATGTCGGTAATTTTTTATATTTTCATTTTTCAAAAAAAACTGTTTTACCATCAGTCGGTAAGGTAGATTTCTATGTCGGTAATTTTTTATATTTTCATTTTTCAAAAAAACTGTTTTACCATCAGTCGGTAAGGCAGATTTCTATGTCGGTAATTTTTTATATTTTCATTTTCAAAAAAAAACTGTTTTACCATCAGTCGGTAAGGTAGATTTCTATGTCGGTAATTTTTATTTTACTATCAGTCGATAACACAGTTTCCTTTAAGTAGGTAATTCTTGTCCCTTCTTTACCATCAATAAATATTGTAATTTCCTGTGAGCTTGAAATTTTTGTATTTTCATTTTGCAGTTTAACCTGCAGTTACATTACCGATTGAAATTGAAAGTAGTAATAGGGAGGGAAAAAGAAGGAAATGGAAAACACAAATGAAAGGTTAGAAATAAAAATAATTTACAATAAAAAATTTCTTGGTCATGATATTTATTTAACCGTTATACCGGATCTCGACGTCGGTACAGTGTTCAGCTTAACAACGAATGCTTTATTGTAATTAATACAATTATTTTTATTGTTACAATAGACATATTGTTTATTGCACACTTTTTTCTTGATATAAAACTCCCTTTTTCTTTCTTTTTCTCTCTCTCTCTCTCTCTCTCTATCTTTTTTTCTTTCTCTCTCTCTCACACTCTTTCAATCCCATCCCTACCCATCCCTTACCCCTTGGTTTTTCTGATCGCATACAATTTTTTTTTCTTGATTTATGTTTATATAGTTACTTTTTTTTTGTTATTTTGTCTTTTTTTTTTTTTGTTAATTGAGAATGATGTTTCGGATTTTCGTGAAAAGAAAAAAAACATTCTACAGCAAAAAGATAATGAGTAAAATGTCTTAAGAGGGAAATAAATCGATTCGCATTCTTTGTATATAAAATAAAAAAAAAACAACTCGTAGCTGCCACTTAAAGGCCCTTGTTTTTATTTCTTTTTCTTTTTAGTGTCTTAGAGGTGCAATATCATTACCACATAACCAACAATCGTGAAAATTGTCTCATACTGAGATTGAATTTATTTTTTTTATTTATTTATTTATTTTTTTTTTTTGTTCTTTTTAAATACAATGTTTACAAGAAATATCACTATCACGTCAAGAGCGTTTCGTTATTTGTTTATCAGCAGAAATTTTTTTTTTTTTTGCAATTTGAATTTTCTTCTCCTTTTATAGAGAAAAAGGGAAATGAATTTTTTTTCTTTTTAAAAATCATATATTAATTAATCAAAATTTTATTTTACATCAAATTTTAATAAATTTTTGAAAAAATTTTTTCATTTTATTAAATTTTTTTTCTTTACTAAAAAAAAAAAAAAAAAAAAAAAAAAAAATCTGCTGAGAAACGAATTTTTCTTCTTTTAAATCAGATATTGAAATTTGTAAAAATGAACCGCACCCGGTTTGTGTCATTCGTTGATTACAAACTCGCCGAGTTTAGAGAGTGTTCGATGTGTAAATTTATTTATCGATTATAAAAAATTGAACTACTCATTTTTTTTTTCTTAACGGAATGGAAAAATGGGAGCAAGGGTGAGTCGAAACGCTAAACATTTTTTGTGTATGTGTTCATTTATATGTGTGTGTGTGTGTGCTTATGAAAAAAAAGCTGACGATTTTTCTCCTTGTTTTTCTTTCTATTTTTTCTTTTTTTGGTTTTTTTTTTTATATTTTTTTTTACTATTTAGCGCGCCAAGGAGCAAAAAAATGGTTACAAAAAAAAAATTGCCCTCGATTTTTTAATATAGATACTTCCAAATACATTTCGATCCTAATTCAAAAAAAAAATCTATTACTACTATAAATATAAATAAAAAAAAGAAAAAAAAAATGAAAAATTATTGATAAATTTCGTTTCTAATTCAATAACTAAAAAAAAATTATATCACACCTATTTTTATTTCCACAAAAAAAAGTCTCAGAAAAAAAAGCAAGAAATTTCTAAAAAAAAAAATCATCGAAACATTATCGTTTCACTTGTCATGATGTTTCGCGCGTCAATTGACTGGAAAAAAAAATGTTGTCTCGGCAGTGCGTTTTTTTTTTTCTCCTCTTTTAATCAAGGAGCTGATTCCTTGAGAAGTATACTAGCTCTTGAATATTGTTCTACAACGAAATAACAAAGATTGCTCTCAAAGAATCGCTCAATTGACAACATTCGATTTTTAATTTTTTTTTTTACACTTTGTACTTTTTTGTTTTTTTTTTTTTCCTTTCTTTCCTTAAATATGCCCCAAAAGCATATAAGACACATTTCCATGTTTTTACTCCCATTGAGCGATAATTTTTTCTTTTTTTTTTTATCCTCGACATTCAGAAAAATTGCGTGAAAAACATTTTCAATTTTATTGTCGATTTTTTTTTATCGCTCAAGGTTTTTTTTTTTTTTTTAAATGACAAGCAATTCACAATTTTTCTAAGAACAAAAACCGAAAAACACTCTCTTTCCATTATATAGTATGAACAAATTTTTTTCAATTACAAAAAAAAAAATGAAAAAAAAAAGTTTAATGTAATCGCTGAGACAATTCATTTTTTTTGGCACAAGATAATGAATTGCATCAATTTTTTTTTTCAAGACAGAATCAGTATTTTTTTTTTTTTTTTTTTTTATTCTCCCAGAGGAATGGAATTTTTAAAATACCATTTAGAAATTGTTTTTTAAAAACTATCCTTTGAAAAAAAAAAAAATTGTTTTTGTCGAATATACAAAAGTATTTTTCTTTTTTTTCGAAAAAAAAAGTATTTCTTTCCTTTTTCTTCATCTTTTTTTCTTTCACTCATTTTGTTTTTTCTTTTTTTTTTTTTTCTTTTTTTTTTCTAAAGTAGAGTATCATTTGTAAATTCTCAAAATTGAAAGCGTTTTTCTAGTATCTAAGGCTTATTTTTTTTTTTTTTTTTTTGTGTTTGTCGCATTGTCAAGAATTTCACACACGTATGAATTATTATTATTATTATAAAGTCATCATCATCATCATCATCATTTTTCTAAATAATCCGGGCTTTGTTCTATTGGAGAGTCAAAAAAAAAAAAAAAAAATTAAATAAACGCGAGAAAAGAGAAAATAAAAAAAAGATTCAAAGGCGAAAAAAAAGAATACAAAAATAGAAGAAATGAAAAAAAAACAAAAATGTGAAAAAAAAATGAAAAAAGAAAAAAAAAGACACTATGAAGATGAAATAGAAGAACAAAGAGTATTTTTCAATAGCAATCTAAATGCTAGTTTTGACCATTTTCAGCGTAAAAATGGTTCGATTGACAGGAAATCGTCAAAAAAAAAAGAAAAAAAAAAAAAAAAAAAAAAAAAAATTATAATAATAATAGTGTACAGCCCGCTCTGGTCACCCTGCCAAAATAATTACGCTTTTTCTCTTTCGCGCGCGCACTTTCTCACCCTTTTTCTCTCTCTCTTTCTAAAAAAACAGGCTTCGAACACACAAACTTCGATTAATCGATCCCTGCAGGCGAAATTCATTCATTTTTAACTTTTTAAAAAACAATAACATTTTTTTTTTTTTTTTGCGAGCTAGTAACGCACTCTCTCACTCACACACACATTCACAACCTTCCCACATCGCTAATATTCCCTCTTTTTCAACGATTACATGATAATAAATTTTTTTTTTCAATGCCCGCGATTTCCATGGAAATTTTTTTTTTCGCCCATTTTTCGAAATCGCCCATTATTTTTTTAATACTGAATATAGCGTTTCGCTTCTAAAAAAAAAAAAATTGGATTATTCTCAGGGGGGAAAAAAGATTTTTTTTTTAATGAAATCCTCAAAAATGTACAGACTGTCCGCTCCGCAGAATCTGCAGATTTGAGAAAAAAAAAATAATATTTTTAGAATTTCTTTCTTTTTGGGAAATTAATTTTCGAATAGCTTGCGATCCATTTCTTAATTATTATTATTATTGGTAACAAAATGAAAAAAAAGGCGTGCCAAGCGATTATTTTTTTTTTTTTCGGACGGTCCATACACTCAGACGCTCGCTAAATATATTTTTTATGTATATATATATATATATATATATGTATATATATATGGAGATTGGCGCCTGATGGAAATATAAACTCTAAAAAGACAGTATTTGAAATTTGCCTACACGGATCTCAACAACAATGCCTGGTTGATCAACTTTAACTGCTTTTTTTTTTTTTTTCTTTTCTTCCTTGTTTTTTTTTTTCTTTTTTTGTTTTGTTTGTTTTTGCGTACGTGTCTATCGCTCGCTCTTTTTCTTTTTGTTTATGTCTATGTGTGTATGTGACACCGCAAAACAAAAAAAAAAAAAAAAAAAATAATTATTTACCAAAAGGTATAACCACCATCTGTTCCTCCTCCAAGAAACGAGCCCTTCTTTTGCGAGAGGGCAACACTGTGGCCAGCCATTGCTGCTAATTGTGCCGCATTTGCAGCGACTCCTGGCGGTGGTGGTGGTAAAACTTGTTGCGAGAGTCCATCAAATCGAGTACCCTCGAAACCATTCTAAAGATTTAAAAAAAAAACAAAATAGAAATCATTTTTATTTTCTCATTTTGTATACTAGGATTTTTTTCCTCTTTTTTATTTTAATATTAAAAATACAGTCGGGTTTCACAAAGTGTTCGAATTTGGGACTGGATTCGATAAGTGACCTAACCTCTAATTCAAACCACAAAAAAAAATTATTTAGTTCAAATTATCAAAGAAAAATTAATCAAGTAATTTTTTTAAGTTAACTACACTGAGAAAAGAAAAGCACGTAATCTGAAATGGAGAAGTTCAGCATCTGTACACCAAGTTGAGCGCAGCAGCAGCGTCACTGTGTGATGGATGCCGTACTAAAATGTGAAACGGATGTTGTGCTTGGCTTGAATACAGATACTGTACTTCACCGAGGACGAATGCTTAATTAAATTAATCGTTCAATAGACTCAAGCATATAGTCAATATAATTAATTATTAATATTATTATTCCATTATATTATTATTATTATTCTTTCATTGTTATTATTGTTATTATATATTTTTTATTATTCTATTGTCATTATTATTATTTTTTTATTTATTACTGCATTAGTTTTGAGGTTATGATTTTTAAAAATAATATGTATATTTTTTATTTACTTTATTCATACATTTTAAAATTTCTTATAAAAAAATTGAACCTATATTTTTGAAAAATAAATAATTAATAATAATAATCTTTACGATAATGACATTTTAATTTAAAAAATTTTTCTTTTTAATTATAATTAAAACCGTTTAATTTTATAATTTATTTATTTTTATTATTATTATTATTTATTATTGCATTAGTTTTGCAGGTTATGAATTTTAAAAATAACATATTTTTCATTTACTTCATTCATAGATTATAAAATTTCTTATAAAAAATTGAACCTGTATTTTTGAAAAATAAATAATAATAATAATGAGCTTTACGATAATGATATTTTAATTTAAGAAAATTTTCTTTTAAATAATAAATAATACCGTTTTGATTTTATAATCAAACACAGATATGAAACTGTCTAGAAGTACAGTATCTGTCGTTCGCTATGAGACAGATTCTGTATAACTTAGTTCACACCGCTGCCGCGCTGCTAGAGCATAGTATCTGAACTATGAACAACACCAACCAACCAATTGTTTATGTGTAACTTTTTAAAAATAGAGTAATTTAAAAGGTATATATCCAAAAATACGTAAAAAATTGCATACAATTGCAAAATAACCCTTTTTTTGGGATGAAAATGCAAAATAACCCTTTTTCGGGTTAAAATTGAAAAAACATGTTACAAAAAAAAATATGTAAGATTTTCTAAAAGCATATGGCAAAGTATTTTGATTTATTTGAAAATAAGTGAAAATAGATTTTCCAAGGACGGTGTCGAGGTCACGGGGTCTACGAAAACAGCTAGAGATTCTTATCTTATATAAATTTCCTAAATCCGAAAGATTATGCGAATCCATACAAAAACACGATTGCATAACGAAAAGTAATTTAATGACAGGTTCATTACCTCCTGCCGCCGTCAGATGGCAGCAGTATGCAGGGCGCACAAAGTCGTAGCTGTTATTAGATTACTTTTCTACTTTTTTTTGTTTTGCAACCATGTTTTTCTATGGATTTGTACCGTCTTTTGGATTTAGGAAATTTATAAGATGAGGATTTTGGCTGATTTTGTTAAAAGTGTTCGTGTTTCGAGAAAAAAGTATTTTAAAATGAGTACTATTTTTCTAGTTGAGAGCGATAATTAAAGCTCTCTTCTTGCTAAAGAATTTCAGATATCGTTCGACACTCTTAATGCATAAATATAAAAACAAAACAAGAAAATTACTTCAATGTTAATAAATTTATATTAACCTAAATCTAAAACATCGATTATCTATACGCATATAAGTATAACAAAAAAAATGCAAGTTCTAATCATTTTTGATAATTTTTATTGATTTTTAAAAAGAATTCGATATTTTCGAAAATTGTTAAAAATCAATTATTTTTTAAATAAAAATTAATTTCCAGTGAAATTGAATTAATATAACAGAAAAATGTAAACTCTAATTATTTTTTGATAATTTTTATTCATTTTTAAAAAGAATTCGATATTTTTGAAAATTGTTAAAAATCAATTATTTTTGAAAAGAAAATAACAATAATATTATTATTATATTATTATTATTACACTGAGAGAACAAAGTAGTTGAGGTAACTAATAAAATGGTTACGAACACCATTTTGGTTAGTAAACTATACTGCTGCTAATTCAATACTCAGAGATACCATTTATAATAGTAAAAAGTTATATAGTTGCCATTACCATTTTTATTAGTAAGGATAACTTACTTTAATTAGTATCAACAACTAATAAATATTTGTAACAGATAACATTTATTTAGTTAACCTTACTAATAAAATAGGTTTTTTCAATATAAATAAAATATAACCGTAATTATTTATTTAATATTATTCACATTCAAACAAAAATATGTTTATTATAATAGTTGTTATAACTTTTTTGCTTTACCAAGTAAGATATAAATCTTATATTAAACATATTTTTTGTATCATACGAATAATTGTAAATAAATTTTATAGGTTAGATTTATTGATTAAATTGTCACTTACATTCAAAACGATCTACATAATCTTCAAACCCCCCTTGAGATTAATAATTCCGGTAAATCCACGCACTTTTTTTAACAATCAATAAAATAATTTATATGGAAATAATATAATTATAACATGAACGACCACGTTTTTTCACGACATTGCTTTATGAGATTGAGTGTGCTTCACAGTGTTGCCAACCGAATTGCTAACAATTGACGATTCAAACAGCTACACTAGCGCCACAGTTGAACTAACGTAAGCGTGACTCGCTCTAAAGCAGTCTCTGTTTTGTCAGTTTATTTCAAATTATTTAATTATTCTGATATTTTTATTGCGTTTGTAAAATAATTTTTAAGCGTTAAATAAAAAAAAAATAATTTAAAACACATGGAGTGCTACAGAGCGAGTCACGCTTAAGTTAGTTCAACTGTGGCGCTAGCGGAATCGCCAATTGCCAACCGCGTTTACTAGAAAAAAAAATGGTAAACCCAACTATTCTGTTAGTTAAACTTTTGCATTAGTGGTACCATTCATTTCTCTCAGTGTATAATAATAATAAAATGAAAAAAATTTCTTTAACAATTTACATATCGAAATTTAATTTAAATTCTGTTCCGAGGGGTTTTTTTAAAAAATACGGTACTGAAACATGCTCAAATTTAGTGTCGCCATTCCTTAATATGACGGAAAGTGGAACTAATTGTATTCGTCAATTTGGCGGATTGACTGTAAAAACAAATAAAAAATTATTTTTTTTTTGCTTAGGGACTTTTGAGAAATCTGTATACAGATACCTTTGCTTCCGCATGCTAAGGTTATGTAGGATTGGTAAACAAAAATAAAAAAAAACCTGTCGGTTGGTTTCCATTTTCCCCACTCTTCATTTGTCATAATTCTCGTCAACTACCGCACCCTGTTCTAGTGAAAATTTAGTAACTTTTAATTTTAACAATAAAGTTACTAAATTTTCACTAGAGCAAGGTGCGGTAGTTGACGAGAATTATGACAATGGAAACCAACCTCTCGAACTACTACCAGCCCCGACCCACTAAAACCCGTAACCCTTCTTTTGGAGCACTTTTTCCTCCCTCAAAATTGTCATAAGACTTTTGCCTTCGAGAATGGCGCTACAACTCTCTCCCTACTGTAACGCATAATCATCTCATCATTAGTTAAAAATTTTATTTAAAAAAATTTTATTAAAAATAATTATTTTTTAGCCGAATTTTCATTTTTCGAATTTACATTTGATAGAACTTCTTTTTGAAACAAATTTTTGCTTAACTTAACTTTCTTCTAAATAATTTATTAACTTTCTTATGTCTCGAATTTTTATTGTAAAGGAATTCTTAAAACGCCGAATTTTTAGTTATCAGAAATTGCAAATGGCTGAATAAACAATCGATAGAAAAATTTCAGCGCTATGTTTAAAATTCATCAATCAAAAAATTGGCCAAGAAAATTGGATTTTAAAAAACGCGCCAAAATCGATTGTTTATTCGGCCATTTGCAATTTCGGTATAAAATAAAAATTAGGCGTTTTTAAAAATTCTACATAATCTAAAAATTCTGAATTCGAAAATTCGTCTAAAAAATAATAATATAAATCTAATAAAATTGTTGATAATTAAAATTCTAACTAATGATTTTTATTGGGATAATCGTGCGCCTCAATAAAAACTATTTTCAATGTCAAAGCGGAATTAACAGCACACCAGAAGCAAAAAAAAATTTTTTTTAAATATCAATAAATAAAAAACAAAATATAAAATAATGTTAAAATTGTAAAAAAAAGACAAATGAACAAAAATGATACTAGAAAAATATAAAAAAAACCGAGAACAAACGAATCAAAAAGTAAATATAAAATTGTTGAAAGACAGTAAAGACACAAAATAAATAATAAAAAATAAAAAGAAATAAATAAATGTTAAAATTATTAAAAAAAATAAATTAAAAATTAAGTTAAAATTATGCTTCTCGGTGGCTATTGAGGTATTTTTTTCATAACAGAGATAATAAAGGTCTCGATGTGCTTTCAGTTTTCCTGGGATTAGATCATTAGCAATACCATGTTCTCCGGTGTAATTATTATTATTACTATAAAAATATTTTCCATTATTTAATTTATAGATGTATTGTAATTTCAAAAATCTTTAGATACTTACTGAGTCGGAACACTTTGCGAGACTTGACTGTAAATTTTTTTTTTTTTATAATCTAAGACGACTTGAAGTCATAATTTCTTTTCTAGGGGGGTCGAAAAAAATTACTTACAGGTACCATGAGAGTGGGCCTGACTGGAGCAGGTTGCATGGCAGCCGTGGGATAATAAGCTGCAGCCAACGGTGGATAATATGGCAATGGACCATAAGCAGCCGGATAACCAGTTAGGTATCCTCCTGAATAGCCTTGCCCATACACTGTTTGATACATCTAAATTCAAAAAAAAAAAAATTAACGCTTTTTATTTTTTCTCCTTCCTTTATTTTACCGGTATTATCCTATTTAAAAAAAAATAATTATTGTAACCGACTCCTCGTGCCTCAGATTATTCACTAAGATCTCTTAACAACGCAGTCGATTTAAAATCACAATATTTTCTTGAGCAAAGTTTGAGTCTAGGCGATTTAGCTAGGCTCCTTGACACAAGAAGAACCCCACTAAAAATAAGAGTTACATTAACTAGAATTTCTAGTTATTATCCTTTTTTAAGAGACTACTAAATCTACCCAAATTGCACTCCGGGCTATGCTGTAAGGTTAGAAACGGGTTCTTTGCACCTTTTCTATATGATTTTCAAACGGGCACTGTCTTGGATAAATAAAAAATTTTTAAGATGGATATTTCTCGGTATCCCAGACAGTGTCTGACGAAGTTGTTTGATGATTGCAAAAAGTAACCCCGAAAATAAGTGCAATTGATTTGTTCAATTAAGAATTCATTTTTTCGAGCCTAGTGGTCTCTTGGATGAGTGTGTTTTGATTCCCCAAGTTCTCTCGGAATAGTTATAGTAGTTAGAATTAGTCAAACCTATACACTGAGAGAAGAAAAGCACGGAATCTGAAATGGAGAAGTTCAGCATATGTAAGTTAAGCGCAGCAGCAGCGTCACTGTGTGATAGATGCCGTACTAAAATGTGAAATGGATGTTGTGCTTGGCTTGAGTATAGATACTGGGAGTTCTAACTTGGCAGCGGTAGTGACCTGACGGAATTTGTTCCGGCACTTCATGCATTTAACATTGATTTTGTTCTACCTTTGATATGTTCAAACAAATTTTAGATCATTTTTAGCCAAGTTCTGTGCTGTGAATATATATGATTTGTTCTGCTTTTAAAAGCAACTTTTTAACCTTTTTTTTCAAACCGTTTGTTCCACCACATGCTCTCCGAGGTGTTCTTCGAAGTTTGTTCTAATCCTGATTTTTCTGAGTTTTGTTCTATAAGCGAGTGTGACTTCTACCCTCGCCCATCGTAACTTTTTTGTGAAATATCCAAATTTTTTGTGTCACCCTGAGGACCTATTTTATTCTGTTCCGTGTGACTTTTCATGAATTTTACTGGTTGTATCTGAGTTTGAAGTGACTCACTGTTATCGTGCTGTGACCTCTGCTGTTTATAATGCTTTGTGGAATTATGTAAACATCTTTTGTATATCTGCGGTGTCACCTTGCAGTGTTGTGGTCTTCGACAGTTTAATATCTTAATTGTATACCCCTTGTTGAAGGTTTAAGTATATTTAAGGTGTTTAAAACCCGGTGAGAATATTTAGAAATGGGAATTTATTATGATTCATGAATGAATTCAACGTATGGCAAATTCATTTTTCTTGTACTCGACTTGTCCGTTTCCAAGCGAACAATATATTTGATTCAATCTCAAATTTCCTATAAGCTGGATTTACTTTGCTGTTGTCTAACCTGTATTACCAACAGTGTAGCGTATAGTGTATTCTAGAACTTTTTCGTCTTCTAAGTTTTTTTGTTCTGATAGTTGGCTAAGCCTCAAGTCATTTAAGAAGAAGGAGAAGAAGAGTACACAGATATGGAACTGTTCAGAAGTACAGTATCTGTCGGTCGCTATGAAACAGATTCCGTATAACCTAGTTCACACCGCTGCCGCGTTTCTAGAGCTTAGTATCTAAACTATGAACGACACCAACTGAACAAAACTAAAGAACCGATACTGACACCCATTTTACACGGCCGGCGTTCATCACAGTACGGATTCTGTGCTTTTCTACTCTCAGTGATTAAATAATTGCGAATACAATTAAAAAGAAAACCCCCTCACCATCGGATGTGTAAGAGTTTGATCATACGCAGGCGGTGGAGGCCCCTGCGTCGCGTAAAGCTGTGGTTGATTAGGAAACACTCCATAGGGCGAAGCTGCTGCAACTATTTTAACAAAAAAAACATTCTTAGTTTCTTTTGTCTAAAATCACAAATCGTAATGAAAAATTTAAAACTAACCGCCATAGGGGTTTGGCTGAGCTTGAGCGGGAACGAAGCCCGTTGGTGGATGAGGGGCCACCGGATAGGCTGAAACACAATTCACATAATCTATTACATCCAAATTATTGAAAATTATCGATAAAACCTCAGCCAATGGTACCTAGTACCAATATTTTGCCAGTCATCGCGTTCTGCGATTTGATTTTTCAAAAATCGCAAAACGCCTTGCTGCAATAAAACCGTTTCAAAATGTCCAGAACAAAATTTAGAAATATCTTTTATGTATCAATCTTTTGAATTATCCGAACCCCGGACATTTTAAGACGTTTTTACTTTTTTTTCTTTTTTTTTGGTTCTTTTTTTGATACCACGAATGGTACTCCCACACCCAAGTATATCTTACACATGACGTACACCACTTTTAATCAAGATACTAATTGAAGCTCAAACAATGTTAGTCACTAGATAAATGGTGAAATCAAATAATCGAAAGACTGGTAATAATGTTGCTCTACCAAGCACCTCGTGCCTTTTACGAGTATCATGTTTATTTCCAAAAAAAAAAAAAAACATATTTTTCTTTGATTTCTCGTAAAAGGCAATATCAGTGCATTTTCGAGCTGTGGCATTAAGTGTGTACGTGCTTTCGAAATTCAACCAAAAAAACACATGCCTTTTTTTTGGGTAAATTTAAAACTTATAAGCTTTTAGTTCAGTTTCTTTTTATTTTGTTATTTTGGCATTCGGAGACCATTTCGATAAACACATACGCACCGATGCGAGTCACATGTGAGAACAGTTTATAAAAATTACAAAACCACTTGACTTGAAAATTCGTGATAAAAAATAGTTTTTCCTCTAAAATTCTAAAGTAAAACCAAAATTTTCGATGATCGAAAAAATGGATTTTTCAATTTAGAATTTAGTTTTTTTTTTTAATAAAGGTAATGAAACTTTTCCCACGATCATGACTCTTGCGAAAAAAAAGGATTTTAACAAACTTTGGAAAGACAATTATCGAAAACACAATATTACGACTCTACAAATAATGCATTCCCTTTTTTTGTTTTTTCTTCAAATTTTTGTTATTATTTCCGGAAAACATTGATTATGAAACGTGCACGATCAAGTCACACCTATAAATACAAAAAAAAGAAAATATATTTTTTCTTCAGGACCTTAAAAAAAAAAAAAAAAAAAAAAACTATTCCCATCATGAGACTCACATTGAAAAATTATTTTGGACCTACCTTTATAATATATTTTCTAAAAACTAAGGTATTATAATACAAAACTGATCTCAAAGCAAATAGCATTACGCAATCAAGGTAAAAGCCAATTACAATCTAACAATCGTATCCGAGAGTCAAAAAATTGAAATTTCTTTTTTCATATAACTCTCGAATTCGATTTAAGAAAAAAAATATATATATATGATAAAACTTGGCTAAAAAAAATAAAGCGAAAATGTAAGAATAATCGGTTTTTTTTTGGAAAGTGATATATATATATATATATGAACAAAAAACAAGCCAAAAAAAAAGAAAAAAAAAATGATTTCGATTAAGTGGTACGTTTCAACAAGACAAAAATTCAATACAGTTTCAAAGAGAATATTTGGCCGAAAAAGTATTTTAATAAAAAAAAAAAAAAATTTTTCTTTTTTTTGTGTTCGAGCGGTGAATGTGTAATTTATACAATGAGTACAGTGGTACGATGAGTATATAAAAAAGTATATTAATAATGTAATGCGCAGGCGCGCCAACACAAAAATCGCGCATGCGCAATAGATCATTACGCGGGAAATTCAAAAAATAGATTTTTCAATTACTAAAAAACTGTATTAAAAATATGTCCCGTTTTGTTTTTTTTTTGGTCTCGCAAAAAAAAAATTGTGTTGGCGCTCTTGTGCTACACATCAACGAAAAAAAAAATTTTTAAAAAAAACTTGTGACAAGATTCAGCAAACCACAAATTTCTGAAAATATCCAATATAAATAAAGGTCAAACATGATTATAAATTATTATTTTTTTATGATATATAATCGCAGATTGGGCGGTCTGTAATTATCTCGCATTTTTTACAGTGAAAATTATTTTATCATTTTTTTTTCTTTCTCTACTTTTTTTTTATGGAAAAATCGATGCAAACCGCCCAATGGTTTTTTTTTTAAGTTTAATTAAATCAAAGTACACATTGTGCTCAAGCAATCAACGTACGCAAGGGAATTTCTTGAAATTTTTTTTCACATTTTTAAAAACTAGTTAGAAAACTGGTACTTTTTTGAATATACCTTTTTTTATTTTTCTTACATTTTCTTGCAAAATTTTTGATGAAAAATTTCGCGTTTTCATTGCGTACGATATTTGCTTAAGCCCAAGTAGCAGCGAAATGGACATGTTGTAATCTAACATAGATGTCAGCCCACACCAAATTTGTCCATAATAAACAACCAAGCGCCATCTAAGAGTTACGATTTTAAAAATTTTTAAAAAAATCGCAACAATGAAATGGCGCTAGGTGTAAATATATTTTTTTCTCAATTATTTATTTTTTTTTTCTTTTTTTTTTTTTTTTAAAGGTCATGTGTCAGAGTGCCACGGTGCAAACAATTATCGAAATTCAATATAACGATCGATAATGCTAATATATATAAATATATAATTTAAAAATTTTTTTCAACTGGAAAAAAGTGAAAAATTTTTCCCTACTTTCAATTTGTCCCATATTATTTTAAATTCAAGCATCGACCTAAAGGTTATTTGCCTGTTGTAAGAAAAAAAAATTCAAGTTATCGCGCTTTTGAAATTTTTTTTTTTTGACAAAAAAAGTGTCTCTGTTCTTTCCCCGAGATATTTTTTTTTAGGAACATATTGAAAATTTTTTTTTTTCGGTGGAATACTCGCGTCTCCGATGTGAACCTAGTAACTGAGAATTTTTAAATTTATTTTTAAAAAAATGGGGGAAAAAAAAGTAATATCTTCTCGGTCACTTGGTCTAAACAAAGAAGACATTTGCCCGGTTTTTACATTTCACAATTTTTCTCATTTTCTTAATAATAATAATAATAATAGTAATAATAGTAATAATAATAATAATAATAATAATATATCAAATTCTATTTGAATTAAGCTCACTATTAACAGTATACATGTTCTTGTCATGCGCATGCAGCTACCAAAAAAAAATGCAAAGAAGATTTCGGTGAACCCAGAGTCAATTTCTATTGACAAATTTTCTTTTTTCTAAAATTTTAAAAAAATTTTTTTTATTTTTTCATTTCCGGTTTTTTTTTTTTAAAATATTTAATTTAGTTTTCTAGAACTAAACTCTAGATGGTTCACTGTGTCTACTTCTATAAAATGGCGAGTCATAAAACTCTTTTGCCATTCTACAATTTTTAACGGGACAAAAAATCCGTGAATTATTCTATATAAAAAAAAAGAACCCCTAGTGCAAACAAGACAAAAAAAATTACATGCAATTCTCATCTTTTAATCATTTTCAATTTTTTTAAAAATATTAAAAAAAAAAGTATTTTTTTTCTATAAAAACTTTTTAATATAAGTTTTCATGTTTTTTTTTACCAAAACACTACGAAAATACAATACGAAAGGAAAAATTGGAAAAAAAAGTTGTGTTAGCTCAGTGCGTTAATTGGCATAACACTCGTGAAAATCGTCATCGAACCTAAGGGGTTCAAGGTTCGAGTCCTGCCGATTTTTTTTTTTTTTTTTCTTTTTCTAAATCGATAATAATTAAAAAGATGAGAATTCTTAAAAAGATATACATATATATATATATACTAAAAAGTAGAATCTTAAACACATTAACGTGCAACTTATTAAAACTAGAGTCATGCACAGAAAGGTAAACACCTTCTTTAAAAAAAATACCTTAAATACATTATTCTCAAATTTTTTTTCCAAATTTAAAAAAAAAATTCTTTAAAGAAGGTGTTTGCTCTTCATTTTTTTGTTTCTATAATTAAATTTCTCATTGAGAACGTCTAGACAGTAATAAAAAAATCAAGCATGCAAAATCAAAAACTTCTTAAAAAATACATTTAAGAACTATATATATATAGTATATATAGAAAATAAATTCTATGCGAATAAACGTAATCTCAGTATTTTACATTTTTTTTTCGTTTCTTTTTTTTTTTCTTTTTTAAATATTCATTTTTGAATATAGAAAAAATTAAATCAAAATTTTTTCGATTTTAATATTTTGAAATTACGTTTTATCACGGAAATTGCTGTAACAAGCTCTACCGGGGGTAAAAAAAAAAATGTATATGGTGAAAAATTAACTTTTAAAATTGGTTGCAAGGAACAATTCAGTTAAAACTATTTCATGCAGATTGCCCACAAGTTTCCTCCTTTTTTATTTAGAAAATAAATTTTAAGAGATTTGGTCATTTTTAACGTTGCATTTCATAATAATAATAATTATTAATATTAATACTATTATTATTATTATTAGGTATTATAATTATATTATAATTATAACATACAATTTAGTCTCGTATATTGTAAATATAATAATATAATAATAATAATAATAATAATAATAATAATAACAATATCAATAACAATAACAATAACAATAACAATAATAATAATTAGTTTCTAAAATTTAAATATTTCATTTTTTCTCTAGTTTTTTTTTTTGTTTTTAATTTTATTTTTAGAAATTTATAAAGGTTTTTTGAAACTTGTGAACTTTGGTAAAAAAGAGTATCATGCACTATTGTTAAAAGTGAGCTACTGAATCGCTATTTAATAGAAATATTAAATATGACGAGCTTAGATACAGCATTCGTGTTCACCCTGCCGATCCACTTGTGTCCTTCCTCAGCAAACTTTTTCAAAAAATTTTTTTAATTTTTTTAATTTTAATAGTTCCGAAAAAATACGTTTCATAAAATTCCAATTTAAGAATTTTTTACTAAATTCTAGTTCTTTATCATTTTTTTTTTTTTTTAAATCTATTTTTAAATAAATTTTTTTTTTTGTAATTTATGGTAATTTTTTGTAAATTATGGTAATTTTTTTGTAAATTGATTTTTTTGGAATTTTTTTTT